GAGTTTAATACTAATACAGATAACTTAGATTATCCAAGCAGCCCAGCTAAATGCTTTGACTTACTGTTAGAAATATCATCTAGGGTATATAATCAAATGCGTTTCCTATATAGCCAGTGTCAGAACGGTCCTAGTCGTGGTGGCTGGGCGGACTGCTGGTACGGCAGGGAGTCGCCGGTTCATCGTGGAACTGCAACACCCTGCAATGTCCAGACCAACCATACAACCAAATAGGTGAACAAAGCATAACCAAACATGTAGTCAAAAGTGTAACAAACTGTTGAGTGCGGTTTGAAATCGCCACTCCAGTCGTTCCTCGAAGACGGCTTACAAGGTTTCCTTCCACATACCCTTACCAAGCTTGGCTGTGGAGTAGAATGTTCAGTTGGTAGCACAGGGGTTACCGTGTAAGACGCCTATGGGATTTGGAGACATCTGTGTAACAGCGTCACATACTAAAAATGGTGAATTTCTCAAGAAGGTGCTTCACAGTTTCTGTGGCCAAGAAAAATCTCACCTCAGTAAGTTCTGCGGCATAGTAAATTGCCTCATGCAACGTCCACCTCAAACCCTGGGAGACATGTTTGCGTTCTACTATGGCTACCTTGAGAACTGGGAAGGAGGTGACAAAGGAAAAGACACCTTAGTAAGAAGCATAAACATGACGCATTTGAAAAGGCAGTCAAGGAAGCATGTTTCGGATCGACCTTCGAGTTTAATCTCATATCAATTTCGAAAGCACTCGCCATAGCGGCAAGCATATTACCCACGAAAAAGGTGACTTGTTCAGGATTGTCCAATGCCCGTATAGCTTGAAGATACATGCGGGTTTTCGTGTATTCACTAAGCTTCTATATTTATAACATGTACAGTGAGTGCTTTAGAAGCTTCTACCTCTCATGTGTCGTGTATATTACCGAAGCGTTCTACAACATGCTATGTCAGTTGCGTGACGAATGCTGTACCAACTGCACATCACCAGCATCTAAATGCAACGGCAATGTCTCTGTGCTAACGAGTGTAAGTTAACTGTACCGGAGCCAAATTATAAGAACCATAACCACCATAAGGATTGCAAATCCATCGCTCAGTGTCCCTCACATTGCCAACCTTGACCAAATATGGATTAATGTTCAATAGCGCCTACAGACTCACCGGTGAAGGTAAGGAATCGAGACACAAGAGAACATGCAAAGATTTTTGCGATGCACTGAAAAATATTCTGAACAATAAAGTAGCGGACGAATATGTGCTTGCCAAATTGGTATTTAAAACAATTCCAGATTACCTATGCAAAATCAGATGGCCTTTCATGACAACACTATTATCCCTCTGGTCGCTCTCGCTCCTCTACCTGCTGCACATCACCGTCGTCGCCTCGACGGTCCTGAGGATGCGCCCCACCGCGGCCGGAAATGCATCCAGGCCGCCGCATGCTCGCCTCCCTGCGCCAGTCCGGGCGCTCGCCGGCGATCAAGTACTTCTCACCGTGATCGTGCCATTCACGTGTGATCTGTGTATCACCCGCTCCTCCACCGCTCACCCATCCGCTCACTCACATGCTCACCTAATCCACCCACCCATCACTCACTCACTCAACCACCTAATCACCACCCGCTCCCGCTCACCTAAACACCCCTCGCTCACCCATCATTCACTGAGTTCGCTGCGTCCTCCTTCAATCGCATCCTCTGTCGGGTCCTTCACCAAATCCGCGTTTTCCACTTCCTCCCTCACGCCCCTAATCGCCTATCAACCCATCTTCCTCCTCGTCGTACCCTTCTTTTGCTTCGCATCATCGCCCTGTCGCCCATCCCTCGCTGCCTCGCTGCCTCCGTCACCTAAAATCGCCTTTCTCCAGTTCCCCCAAATCGCTGCCAATGGGCCTAAGAATGATCCTTCAACATTTCTCAACTGCCTCACTTTCCTCTTATTGGCCCTCTGGTCGCTCTCGCTCCATATTTGCCTGCTGCACATCGCGTCGTCCGCCTCGACGTGCTGGGGATGCGCTCCCACCTGGATCACCCATCAAGGCCGCCATCGCCGCACGGTCGCTGCTCGCAGCGGCACGCGTTCAGGCACTCGCCAGCGTCAGGTGCTTCTCCGCCATCCGTCGGTGCCTTCAGATCTGTGTTTCACCGCCCGCCCCGCCCACTCCGCATGCTCACTCAACCACCTGCTCGACCACCCACCCGCCCCGCTCAACCCACTCAACCGCTCACCAGCTCACTCCTTGCCACCGCTCAACCTCACCGCCCACTCACTCAACCACTCACCGCATCACTCTTCCACCGGTCGGCTGGCTCCTCCTCCCTCACCCCCTCCATCACCTCCTCCGTCGGCGTCCTTCACCCAAATCCTCATTTTCCACTTTCTCCCTCCACCCCTAAAATCGCCTTCTCTCAACCCATCCTTCTCCCTCATCGCCCTCTTTTGCCCCTTCACCTCCCTCGCCTTGTCCACCCACCTCCCTCGCTCCCTCGCTGCCTCCTTGACCTAAAATCGCCTTTCCCCAAACTCCCCCAAATCGCCCCCAAAATGTGCCTAAAATAATCCTTCAACAACATTATTAAATAACCTTTGCACAGGCCTCGAAAAATTTCTCGGCTACGATAATGGTAATTACACCGGGAAAGGAATCGTGTACTCGGACCTTGACAGGCTCTGCGACGGGGTGATGGCGTTCTTGCATTCCGTGCTTAATGATGTCTATGAGAAACAGCCTTACAAAGTAGGGAAAGAAAGCCATTTGAAGAGTGTTGTTGATGCTTTGAATGAGAAATTATGTTCAGGTCATGATGGTTTTAAGAGAGTCATTGACTTGGTGGCCGATGGTGTCGGGAGGTATAATAAGGAGGTGGAGAGATCTAATAGAAAAATTAAAAGTAAAATAGAAAGATTGCTAGAGCAGGTAGGTGAAGAGTTCGAGAGCATGATTACGAAGATTCCTGGTGAAGAAATTTTTGGTAAACTGCAGTATATTGGTGAACAGGTTAGTGATGCAAAACTGTTTGCCGAAAACTATGTGGGATACGGCGCAACGTTTGAGAGTAGGCTTGAGCCCTTGGAAGAGAATATAAATGATCTCAATTCACAATGTAAGAATAATGTGACCAACGTAAGAAAACAGATTAAGCATGAGACTGAGAGGCTTCGTAAATTGTCGGAGAAGGAATGGAAGGACTTGAAAAGTATGGAAATGAAGATTACGACGGTGCTTCAAAAGCTCGGAGTAGACGTTAACGCACATATTAGCAGGGAAGTGAAAACACTAGTTGAGAATTTGAAAGCATTGGTTCAAAAAATTAAAGATTTGCTCAACGACACTTTCAAAAAGCTGGGAAACTGCGTTTTGGAGTTGGAAAACTGGATGAAAAATGCGGACACTATGGTGAATAGTGCAATGGAAGGGACGACGGAAATTGCCGATAAGAAGCCCGGAAAGAATAATCAGGACATGATTAACGCAAAAGCGGGGCAGGTTAAAGATTGGAGTGGTTGGCTTGAAAGGTATATTACGCAGCTTACGGAGTTGACCAGCAAAGTGAATTTGAAAATAGAGGCGCTTGCAGGGGAGTTTAAGGATATAAAAACAGGCGTGCCGAAAGATATCAAAGAAATTTTCGGCCATATTAGGAATAAGGTTGCCTATATTAAAGGGACGAATGATGCACTCTATCTAGGACTGGAGGGGGTTAAAGAGAAAGTAAAGGAATATGCTAAGTATTTTAAAAACAATTTGAAAAATAAAGGCGCAAAAATTGATACGTGGATTGATGGAATTTTCAAGACAAACCCACATATTCATAGCTGGCTTAACGATTATGTCAAGCAAAACGTGAGCAAGGGTAAGTTGAAGGATCTGAGCTATGAGGAGCATAATCGTAATGCGGTTCGTGATGCTATTAAAGAAGAAATTAGAGTGCTCATTGAACACATCAAAGATGAACCAGATGGTGGAAAGCCTACGGCAGAATTAAATTTGAAGGACATTCAGAAATATCTTGAAGCTGTTGCTGCGGCAATTGAAACGCATGTGGAGCCCATTGCGGCTGAGAAACTTGCTACTAAGATTGAGACAGTGTCACTGAGCATCTCAGACGCAGCTCCAAATACGAAACCATATCTCCGAGGAGCCATAGAGGTAACGCTCCTAGAGCTTTCTTTGATGATAAAATGCTTTGCTGGAGAACTTCAATCATTTCTTCTTAAGCCAGAGACGGATAACATCGCAGCCAAAATAGAAGAAACATACGGGAATGCTGAGACACTGAACGGTCAACTCAACGAGGCAACTGGACACCCCGCCGGCTCATCCGGCAAACCTAATCACGCCAAAAACCTGGACGAGGCAATTGAGGCTGTAAAAACAAAGCGGTAGAACTAACCACTGGCGATACAACTGCCATGGCGACATTGTCCGACCAAATAAAATCTAATCTCGTGGCTCTGACAGGGGAATTTGCCATCGCTGGCAAAAAGGTCATTGAGCAATTGGAGAAGCTTAAAAGGGAGATCTCTTTAAACAAGGATGGAGAAGGCCTACATAAAATACACAAACAACTTAAAGAGCTTCACGGCGTTGCGGTAACTGAGGCCCTCAGTGCTGCTGAGAAATTCCTTAAACCGGACGCCTACAAACTTCGAGATGAAACTATCGAAAAACTCCGGGGACAAGTCGACAAGGAAATAGAGAACGCTAAAAAGCTAATGATCAAACAGGCACAGAAAATTTACGTGACGTCAGTCAGAGACTTATTGACTGAGTACTGTAAGAAATGTCACAACGAGCTTAGCAGCCTTCCACAACAAATCACCGACGATTTGACCTCAGGATTCAAAGGCTTCATGAAAACGCTAGAAGGAAAGCCTACCAGTGTGGCTACGCGTCGTAGAAGCGTCACAGATCAACCAGGTAAACTGGAGGAGTTTAAAAATGCTGTAACTTCAATTTCGCCAACTTCGTTTACGGCAGCAGATTTCAAAAATTTAGCAGCAGCAATCACAACATACATTCATCAATTTACGAAGATGTTATGCGTCAAATTACTCCCTTACCTCCACCTCAGTTCAGACTCCAACTGAAGATCTCAACGTTGACAAACTCACTGATACCAAAAAAGCATTTGACACCTTACTTACGCATCTTATCGGCAATGGAAATAGGCAGTATAATTATGATAATGATTTCTTTAAAAAATATGATGCCCTTAAAATTGCAGTTGAGAATTTAGACCCTTCCCAATTCACAAACCCGTCGCACCCCGAGCTGCTGGATGCCGTCGGCAAAGGGCTGAGGGGATTCACCGGGGAGCTCGAGAAGGCGTACATAAACATGTACGACAGTCGTGTATTCCTAGAAGATTTAACGAAAAAAGATGAAACCGTTAAGACTGCAACCAGTGGAAAATCCCAGTCACCAAATGAGCCCCAAATCATATTGACACCGTATGGTGAAAAATGCTCGAAAGTATGTCTCACGGTTTTGATAAACCTTCACGACTATTTTGGTCGTTTGAGAATACATTGTGAAAGCAATGGTTTCTCAAAAAAATGAATGCTATCACCGAACTCGGCATCTTACTAAAGAAATTCGGGTACAACGTGGCCACCGACAGGAAAGAGCAAAACGGTGAATTGCGAAATTCACCTGAGATGCAAGGGCAGCATATAATTCGTGAACTTGCTAAGCCAATATCGAGTGCCGACACTAACGAACATCTCCCCAAGTGCCCTTCACGTGAAAATACAAAAGGCAACATTAATCTCTTAGTCATCCTTCGATGCCTACACAGTCATATTGACGATTTGTTCCGAGTCGGCCACATATCTACATTCGCCGCCAAGAAGCGCCCCTCTTCCATCTACGAAATGTTGACGTGGCTCACTGGTTTACAGTACAATTCCGTTTATCACTCATTGTTGCACGACGGTGTCAGTGGCCTGCTTGATACACCAGATAAGCCTATTACTGGTGACGCAGAGGGATTTGATGTGCCCGTATTTGATTACCATTCCTCATACCTTAAAGCATATCCAACTAAGATAACTTATAATGATTTCGAGAGGGCGGTCGAGGATATATGCTCCAACTCCTATGACCTTCTGGTATCCATCGTCGGCACCGGAGACTCATACGCCAAATATGGGTGTGATTATTTTTGTAATTCATTCGGCTTACATTATCCAACTTCAGGAGAAGACTGTCTCCATTCGTTGCTCGATGTATTGCGTCGATTATTTCCAGTGCTTCGGTTCTTAAATATGCAATGTGGTCTGGACACTCAGCAAAACGGCTGGGCAGCATGCCTATACGGCAAAGACATAATGACAACAAAATCGCAGTGTACCGATCATTCAATCACTAAACCAAACTGCGAAGCACACTGTCAACCAAATGGCCATTCAAACACTAAACCAAATTGCCAACCTACGTGCCGACCAAACTCGCCGCTAATGTCCTACCTGAATGACTGCCTGCCCGGTTGTCTGCCCCACGAACTTACATCGGTTGGTTGTACATCCGTGTGCTTGACGTGCCCAAAGCTTAAGAAGGGTATGCCTTGTCTTACACCATTAGGGTTTAGAGCCTTTTCTACGTCCACTAAAACAGGCAGTGATTTATGTAAACTCATTAAATCTTTTTTCGGTAATGACCTAGTGTCAGCGTTATTCTGCCTTGTGACGAAACCTCCGGCATCCCTTCCGGAGCACTTTGGGTTTGCACTATGCCTAGTGAGAAAGTGGCAAAACACCGGTGGTTACCCACTTAAAACTGCTATCGAATCATCTATAGAAACCCTGTCTATCAAACTCCACGACAATCCCAGAGCAGTTACCGATGCGTTGCGTAAAGCATACGGTAGCAGCCACAGTGATCATGGCAAGCATGACGGCAAGTCGGCTGACCTTTCGAGCCTCTCAATGACGATGTCGTGTTCCGATCAGCAGTGCGCACCCTATCTGAATTGCTTGTATTCCGATGCATATCGTTTCTTAGTTCACAAGAATTCTGACACCTATGTATCATGGGTCATTTACCTTTCGTTTATATTTCATGAATACCTCAAAGATCTATACAATGCCCTCACTAACATATCATGTAGCAACTGGGGATGCCGCAAGTGTCAACACCAAGGAACTACGTGTAAGGCAGGGCAGCATGGGACATCGGTGACATCCTGCAATTGCGCTTCGGTGGTCAGTTGTAACGCTGTCATGCCCACATTATATCAATGTGGTTACACGTTTGGAGACGCGCTGCAGCTAAGTGACCGCAATAGTAGAAAGACGTGCTTCAGGCTTGTCGATCAATTGCGCAAAGTTATCCATTCCAACTATTTCACGGGCTTTTCGACAAATGCGACGATTTTCTCCTTCAAATAAGGAAGCCCTTCATGTCATTATTATTAGCCCTCTGGTCGCTGTCGCTCCTCTACCTGCTGCACATCACCGTCGTCCGCCTCGACGTCCTGAGGATACGCTCACCTGCGCTCGCCCGCAAGCCACCGCATCGCCGCGCAGTCATCTCGCCGCCGCGCGTCAAGGCACTCGCCAACGATCAAGTGCTTCTCACCATAATCGTTGCCATCACTACTCACTCACTCACTCAACCACTCCCGCCTGCTCATCGCTCATGCCCACTCCGCCTCTTACCATCCCCACTCACTCCGCCAGCCCGCTCGCTCCTCGCATCGGCCCATCGACCGCTGACCGCCCATCACTCATCGGCCGCCCATCGGCCGCCCGAGCCGCTCATCCCTGATCGCTCGCCTCAGCGCCGCCTGATCATCGCTGACCGCATCGGTATCGACCATCAGCGCCGCTCGGCCACGCGTAATAAATAACTCGTCATGCCTGATCAGCGCGCTCATCGCGTAATCGCGCATCGCCCGTTCGCCTGTCATCGCATCGATATCGCCGATCGCCCGCCGCTCCTGATCGCCCGCTCATCGGCCAATCATCGACCGCTCGCCGCTCGCCTCGATCATGCCCGCTCATCATCATCGATGCGCTCATCGACCACTCATCGACCGCCCATCATCGACCCTCATCGACCATCATCGACCATCATCGACCGCCCATCGACCGGCTCTTGCCCTCGCCGCCTCATCATCGCCTCGACCGCCGCTCGCCGCTCGCCATCGACCGCCTGATCGCGCTCATCGCGCTCTCATCGACCATCGCTCATCGCCATCATCGCGCCGCATCGCATCGTCATTCGGATCTCCTGCCTTCGCACATCATCATCATCGGTCGGTCATTTCACCCCATTCGTTTTTTTCGCGCCATCCACCTCCGAAATCGCCTTACCTCAACCAATCTTCCTCCCTCATCGCCCTCTTTCGCCCCTTCACTTCCCTCACCCTGTCCACCCACCTCCCTCGCTGCCTCACTGCTTCCTTGACCTAAAATCGCCTTTCTAAAAAAATTCTAAAATTCTCCAAAAGTGTCCCTTTCCACCTCCTCTAATCCCCTCTTCAACCTTTTTTTCACTTTCTTCTCTCACCTCTTTTGACCTCCCTTCTCGGCCTCCTTCGTCGGCCTCCATCGACTGGTTGATCCAGGTTAAACATGGCAATGGTAAGGATGGCCTCGGACCTTTGGCTGAAGCATTGAAAAAGTTGATTAATAACGCTATTTCTAAGGCCACAACTTCCCTCCAACACAAATCCGACAAGCTCTCTTGCTCTCCAAATCCCTACGCTGCTGACTCCTACTGTAGTCAGCTTGATGAGCAGATTAAGTCCAAAAATGAACAACTTAAATCACTTGATAAAGACTCTAATAAATCTCTAATAAATACTTTAGAAGCTGAAATACAGCGCCATAAATCCAACAAAGATGACTGCACTAAGTCCCATTTCATGGACGAGCAGCGTGCGTCCTCCCTTGAGGAGGAAGTGCATCATGGCATTGATGTTATTGTGAAGCTTACACAGTTTAGTGGCTCTGAAAAGAGCATTGTAACACTAATTAATAAAGAAATTAAGAGGCTTGAAAAGCAGCATAATGACTGTCAAAAATCTCCGCAGCCTCATGACCCTGGTGACTGTCCTCAGCATAAAAAGCTTGAGGAGCTTAAAGAGAAACTTGAGACATTGAAACAGAATAAAGATAAAAGTCCACATGATTTATTGAATAACCTGTGCTCTGGCTTGGAGAAGTTCCTTGGTTACCAAGAAACTTCCAAAGGCTACGATGGCACGGGCATCGTGTACTCCGACCTTGACAGGCTGTGCGACGGGGTGATGTCTTTCCTTCATGGTGTTCTCCAAAGTGTGAAGGATGATGATAACGTTATAACATACAATAAACATATTACTCAGAATAATTTAGATAATGTTCTAAAACTTCTTACTTCTTCAATTGGCAAAGGGCGTTCTGGCCTTTCGGAGTCTGTTACCAAGGTAAGTGGGTGGTTGGATAGACATGGTGCGCAGGTGGAGGAGAGGACTGGAGGAGTGAAGAGCAAATTAGGTGAGTTGATTGATAAATTATCATCTCCTTCAGGTAAATACTACAATCAAGTCTACGACAAGACCGACTTAAATGGGCAGCTGCACGAGTGGACCAAGACTCTCCAAGGGATTTCTCAAGAGCTCACAATAATAGAAACACAACAAATTAATGTCTTAGATAGCGCACTTAAGGCACGCATAATGCACAAAATAGAGCCGATTCAGAAGTCGGTTGAGGTGCTGCTTGGGGCGGCTAGGGAGGATGGGCTTGAGAGAAAGGTGAAGGAGGTGGATGAGGCGTTACAGATGGAGCTGTGGAAATTATTGGACAAAATAGGGAAGTTGGAGCATATTAAAAGGGAGCAGTTCGACATAATTAAAAGAGCGATAAAAGATGCGCAGCATTTTATGGACAACGGTTTTGACTGGGACTATAGGTATAAAGTTCTTGGAATGTTTGAAGACATAAAGAGGAATGTTGAAGACGCTCATAACGCATTACAAAAGAAAAAAGGAGAGATATCTGGGTGGGTTGGAAAAGCCCAGACGGCGTTTAACACAATCAAAAATGGAGTTGTAGGAGGGCCGACCGCTCTAATCAGTATAGATAAACATTGGACAGATCTTAAAGAGGAGATTACCGGACTTGTTGAGGGTTTTATTGGTAAGGAAGAGGGTGATACAGGTGATGGACCGAATGGTCTTCTTAATGAAATTGAAAATGGCCTCATGAATTATGGTGGAGGCTTCGATCATAAATTTAAGTCGGCGATTGGCAGTATAGTTAAGGAACTGGTTGATGAAGATAAAGGAGAAAAGGGGTATCTGTACACATATGTCAGTGAGAATAAACGTCAGAGAAAATTCTTAGATTCTGTGCAAAGTAATGACATTCGAACCATTCTTAATCAAGTGACGCCAAAAGTTATATCTCACATTACAGAAAAGCTTCAGCAACATGTCGAGAACGTCAATATAAGTGATGTTCGTGAGATTGAAAAAATGTTGGACGCTGTTAAGAGGTGTGTTTCTAATTTCTCGAAAACTTTTAGTCAACATAATGAGCTCCAACACGACACAATAGCCACAGAAATTGAAGCCATGTTTACATCCGATCCGCCGTTGTTGCCCGCAGTGTCCTCCGATTCTCCTGCTAAGCCGTATCTCACTCAAGCCGTTTCCACCATCCTTACCGCAGTGAAGTCCGCAGCCCAGCGAGTAAAAGATGAACTCGAATCTATTACCACCGACAAGCTTAACATAAAATATAAGCTGGGGAAAAATGTAGACGAGGCCATACAGAAAGTGGAAAGTTTCCGCACCACTTTCGGTCCCACTGCCGGAGATATTGATTTTGCATTGAATCAGGTGAAACCAAAAATTGATGAACTTGGTGAAATTTTAGAGGATACTGGCATAACACTGAAGACTGATGTCGACGGGCTGACCAGTGTTCTAACAGCACTTGATAACCTTAAAAAAGAAAACTCCGGCGGTGTAGATGGTGAGATAAACAAAAAGAAGAAAGAAGCCGATGAGAAAATGAATGGGCTAAAAACTGAAATCAAATACAAACTTCATGTCATCGAATGGAATACGAGAGATGCGGATGCAACATTGACACAGGAGATAGATGCTGTAGAAAATGCTATCAAGGAATCATTCCAAACACTCACCTCCGAGGTCCGCACCCTATTCGCCCAGGGCCACAAAGCCGACCTGGCGGCGCTCAAAACGCTGATAGAGGAGCAGAAGGAGGAGATAGAGAAGATAATCGAGAAGGATAAAAGCAACGGTGTTAAGGGGCTTTTAAGAGAAATCCATGATCATAATACAACTCTTGATGATATGGCGAAAATCGCAAAAAGGACAGTTTCCAAAAGCTCCGAATATTCCAAAAATTTCACAGAACTGTCCGACGCACTGAAATGGTATTTAGATGCAATATTGTATTATACTAAAGACCTAGCGATGACCACGAATCCAGATAAGCCATCCGAAAAGCGAGGAAATAATGAGTCTGCTAAGCTCGACAAAATTAGACTCCGTGTCGACGCTTTACTGGAATATCTGAAATATCATGATCCCGATAGAAAGTATATTTTTGACCACAATTCCACCAGATACCTTACCGAATTAAATGAATCAATCTCCTCCCTCTCCCCCTCCACGTTCCACGGCTTCCACAACCCGCTGCTTCTCGACGCCCTCAAGTCCGGCATGACGCAATTCACCGAGCAACTCGTCCACGCGTACGTGAATAAGTATAGCGGTATGAAGTTTGGTCCTTTGACTGAAGAAGACACATCCAAACAACCAGCCGTTACCGTCCTTTCCACCGAGGGCCGCAACTGCGCCAAGGTATGCCTGACCATACTGGAGACGTTGAATGAGGACTTGATGGAATTAAAAGAGAGATGCAAATTTGAATGGCATTCAAAAGAAATCCACCGCATTAGCGGACTTGGCGCTTTCTTCAATGGCTGCGGTTATATTGTGTCCGATAGGGGTAAGCAGGACGGTGAATTACAGAGATCTGATGAGATGACAGGTGAGAAGGTCTTTCAGAAACTTACTGCTAAACTTACGAACACCAGCGAAATTGATAAACACCTTAAAGAGTGTGAATCAAATAAGGATGACAAGAAAAACAAGCCGAAGAAAGAAGAAGACTTCAATCTCTCTGACCTGCTCAAGTGTCTTCACCATCACTTAGAAGAGTATTATTCCGTCGGTCACTATGCAACTTTCACCTCTAAAAGGCAGCCGTGCAGTGTATATGAGATGCTTGTGTGGTGCGCTGGTCTCACGTATAATCCTGTAAATTCAGTTATGCGTGCCATCACCATCAGTGAGCTGTTCGAGGATCCAAATAAGCAGGACTCAGAGGAGGAGACTGCAACACTTATCAGCTACCAAAGCATACATGCTTCTCCTCACCCAATCAGATATAATAACGTCGTAATGTCGCTCGGCGAGATGTGTTCTCTATCCTACGACGTCTTGACCAGAGTCCTTGGGACCGGCGACGAACATACCGTCTATGCCAGTGACTTCTGTAACAACTCTCACGGTTTTAAATATCCTGGTAGCGGTAAAGATTGTCTTGACATGTTGTTAGATATATTGCGTAGATTGTTCCCACCGCTTAAATTCCTGCTCAGCCAGTGTAGTTATCCGACTGCCATTGGCGGTTGGTCACAGTGCCAGTACGGCAAGGAGATCCCTCCCGCCAAGTGGCCGTGTAGTGACCACTCAAACAGCAAACCAAAAGGTCAACCAAAGGGCCAGGCAACTGACCAACCAAAGTCAGAACCTGTGTGCCAACCAAAATCCCCTCTACAAAGCTATCTAAATGACTGCCTACCCGGTCAGCTACCGCATAGGCTAAGCGATATAGGCTGCAGAGCCAAATGTTCTACGTGCCCCGCTAGTACACCAGGAATGCCCTGTCTCACTCCATTAGGCTTTAAGGCCTTCTCTGGTAGTACGCGTACCGGTAGGGACCTGTGTAACATGCTAGAGAAATTCTTCAACAATGCGTACGTCACATCGCTGTTCTGTCTGCTACCCAAATCACCGTCCACGCTTGCAGAACACTTCAGCTTTGTGTTGTCGCTACTTAAAAGTATAAATGCCCACAATACTAAGCGGAGTAATGACGTCAAATCATTGAAAGATGAATTCGATACATCAATCAGTAAACAATCCATTACCCTCTACCAGAATACCTCCACGCTTACCGATGCACTTGGTAACGCGTATGGCAGTAGCCAGAGTACGCATGATAAAAATAAACATCAAGCAAAACTGGTTAAAGACGGAGAGAATGAACCTTCAAAGGCCGACGTGTCCAGTCTATGTATGACTGTTACATGTCCTGGTGAGCAATGTGCTCCGTATATATCACCGCTATGCTGCGACACGTATTATTACTTAGGTAACAAACACTCTAACACATACCTCTCCTGGGCCATCTACCTCCCATGGACATTCTGGGACCTACTCAACAATCTCTATAATTCCTTCTGCTCTATCACTTGTGCAGATTGGGGATGCAGAGGATGTCTCAGAGGGGACAAGTGCAAGAGTGGCAAGCATGGCGTCGTAGAGGATGAGAAGAAAGCAGATGCCAATTGTCAGTGTGAATCCATAGTATCCTGCAGAGGCGTGGCACCGACGCTCTACCAGTATGGATTCAGCTTCGGCGAGGCGTCGACGTTGAATGGTAAGACGCCGAAGAAGTGTAAGGATTTCTGTAGTCAATTACATAAGGTGTTACAATCACGGTATTTCCAAGATCTGTTCAAGGAGTGCGACAAATTCCTTTATATTATCAGATCACCATTCATGAATACGTTGTTAGCCCTCTGGTCGCTCGCGCTCCTGTACCTGCTGCACATCGCCGTCGTCCGCCTCGACGTCCTGAGGATACGCTCCCACCTGCGCTCACCCGCAAGCCACCGCATCGCCGCACAGTCGCTGCTCGCCGCCGCACGCGTCAAGGCACTCGCCAACGTCAAGTACTTCTCACCATAATCGTGCCTTCAACCACTCAACCACTCAACCACTCACCCACTCAACCACTCAACCACACACTCAACCACTCACCCACATACTCACTCACCTAATCACCCACTCACTCACCCAAACACTCAACCACCCAAACACTCAACCACCCAAACACTCAACCACCCAAACACTCAACCACCCAAACACTCACCCACCTAACCACTCAACCACTCAACCACCCACTCAACCACCTACTCAACCACCCACCCACTCAACCACTCACCCACCCACCCACTCACTCACTCACTCACCTAACCACTCACTCACCCACCCACCTACTCACCCACCCACTCACCACCCACTCACCCACTCACCCACTCAACCACCCACTCACCCACTCACCCACTCAACCACCTAATCACCCACCCACTCACCCACTCACTCACCACTCACTCAACCACACACTCACTCACTCAACCACTCACCTCCCTCCTTCACTGGTCGCTTCGCTCCCTCCCATCACCCCTCCATCACCTCCTCCGTCGGCGTCCTTCACCCAAATCCTCATTTTCCTCCTTCTCCCTCCACTTCCGAAACCGCCTTACCTCAACCCTTCTTCCTCCCTTATCGCCCTCTTTCGCCTCCTTCACTTCCCTCGCCTTGTCCACCCACCTCCCTCACTCCCTCACTGCCTCCTTGACATAAAATCGCCTTTCCCCAAACTCCCCCAAATCGCCCTAAAAATTGCCCATTTCATCCCCCTTTACTTCCTTTAACTCTCCCCTAATCCACCTTTAATCCACCTACAATAACCATTACAATGACGTTCATTACCTCACTGAGAATGCCAGGGGAAAAGCCTTGGATGATATTGATGCCCGTCGTATTTCCCTTGGTCAGCTTGCTGGACAGCTTTCGGGGTTTATTGGCAAAAGTGACGAAGTTGAAAAAGCAATTTTGAATGGCTTGCACAGCAATGTAACTCAGCTTGAAAAGCTTTTAGGAGCATCTTGCGGTGATGGGGGGTGTTGTAAGTATAATGATGAAAAAAATAACCTTAATAACGTCAATGAGACACTTAAAAATCACCTTAAAGATGAACAAAAAGCCTCTGAAATCCTTGCTAAAATCCTTTCTGCGTGCAATTTAAATCCGTCTGATGGTCCCTTAAAAGAGCTTAAAGATGAAATTACTCAAAAAATTGATGACCTTAATAAAAGCATTGAGGAGCTTAAAAGGCTTAATAATGATGATAATAAAAGTAAAAATGCCTCTGAAATTGACAAGCTATCTAAATCTCTTGAGTCTCATAATGCTTCCTTGAAGTCTCTTGAGACACTGAAAGAGCTTTGTGATTTTGCTGAGAAAATTGACAATAATAATGAAAATTGTAAAAACCTTTTAGATAACCTCTGCACAGGCCTCGAAAATTTTCTCGGCTACAGTAATGGTAATTACACCGGCTCCGGCATCGTGTACTCCGACCTTGACAGGCTGTGTGACGGGGTGATGTCTTTCCTTCATGGTGTTCTAAGTAACATCCAGCCTAAATTAGGTCAGCATAAAACACAAATTAGCGTTGCACTTAACTCACTTAAAGACACAAATAATAATGGTATTGCTAAATACAAGGCGGCGATAGCCGAGGTGGCCAGTGGTGTACGTGCATATAATGAGAGAGTGGAGCGTTCGAATTCTAAGGTGAGCACGCCAATGAATGTGTTGATTAAGTACGTCAGAGAAGATGGTAAGTTTTTTAGTACTGTTAATAATTTGCAGATGACGGAGAGCAGTGACCGCCATGTGGTTGACGAGGCTGAGAAGCTTATTATCACCACTCTGGAAGAGTGCCAGAAGAAAGCCTCCACATTTAATAAAACCTTTAATCTTGACACTGAGACAGACATGAATAATGCTATAGATGATCTTAATCCTAAATTGCGTGATCGTGTTCTTACAGCGTTGAGGGCGGTAGCCCATGAGAGTAATAGGCTGGACTCACTTCGTAGGAAAGAAGAAAGCGACTTGGATCAGATGACTGCTAAAATTACTGACGTGCTTGCTGGTGTTCAAGAAAAAATGATTTGCAAAATCGACGAGAAAGTTAAGCAACTTGTTCGTGAGTTACAAGCATTCTTTCAGAAGATTATCGATCAGCTTGACGGCATTGACGCGCAGCTGTATCAGTGCGTTGAGGCGTTAGAAAAATGGATAAAATCTGCAGATAAGATTGTCAACGAAGGCATTGTTAGGGCTACGCAACTCGAAAATAAGAACGTCGCTTGGGGAGCTAAGCAAGGCATCGATGATGTTGTAAAAAAAATTAACAAGGGATTTATAGATGCAAAAGGATATGTCGATGATTTAGTTCAGAAAGCCCTCGCGCAGGTGCAAGCCATGGACGCGGCGCTCAAGGGGGATTTGAAGAGGGTGAAGGAGGGGATAAGGGAGGCGATATGGCAAGAGATTCAGAGATTGAAGGATTCAGATAATCTTGGTAAGATGGATGAAAAAGTAAGGGATGGATTGATTTTGCTGCAAGGGCAAATTGTTGGTGATCTAAAGGGGCATGTTAACAAGGTTCTTGGAGCTATTAAAACCGACGTGGATAAAATTCTTGGTGGCAACGGAAAGGATACGGATAAAGGTTTGAAGGGGATTAAAACAAAGATTGTTGAAAAGTACGCCAAGGGATTTACCAGCAGTGATGGGTTTGCGAATTTAGTGCAGCAGTGGATTGATGAGATTTTGAAGAAGGATGAAATTGTGAAACAGGAAATTAAAGATTGTATTAACCAATACAATTCTAATGTTAATTTTGATACGGAAGTTATTGATAAAAGCATGTTGAAAATTCATACAGGAAAGACGTCTGTCATTGCAGAGAAAATTAAGGAGCATATGAAAGATGAGCTTAAAGTCGAAATGAATAACGCTAGCGTCGACCCCCGTGGTGATGTGCCAAATGGCGTTCAAGCAAATATTCAAGCTGTATACAAGTGCATCGAACAATTTGCCACATCTCTTGGGGAGAAGATTAAGGAGGGACAAAAAAATCCTGGTGAAAAAAATTCTTTTGTTGAAAGCATTGCCACAGCTATTCAGAAGGTTGTGGTGAAAGATGATGGTATTAGTACCATACACCATCTCAAATCTGCAGCGCGTGCAATTGTAACCGCCTTGCATTCCGTCGCCTGGAAGGGGGCTGAGCAGCTGAAAGCAGTTCTTGGAATTGAAGATACAGAGATACAAATCGGTACTAGCGTGGACAAAGCTTTGCAGTTGTGCGAGCCGCTTTCCAACAAGCTCGGCACGGCGCAAAACACTGGCAATGGTTCTCTCCCTTCTTCTAGCCAAAATGTTGATCTTACAAATTACAATGTAGAAGATCACATCAAGGCGCAAATCTACAAACACGTTCCCCAGCAGGAGAGTGAAATAATTGAGCGTTTTAAGAAAGGCCTCATGACCGCTTTCCACAGCACCAATACTAAGCTAATTGCTGCGTTACAGCAGAAGCAGGGCCTTGATCTGAAGGTTGAGCAGACGCTGAATGACAAGATAGGGACGGACAACGGAAACGCAGGCAAGGACGGCGGCACAATTTCCAAATTTCCCATGGGGAAATTCTCCCGATACCAAGACTTCGTCAAGCAAGGCGCAATGTTCGCCTCCAAACAAGCCTCTGACCTACAAGGCATCCCAGCCGAAGGCTCCCTCCCCCAGGCCATCGGGGAAATCAAGCAGTACGGCTTGACCGGTCTGAAAGATAAATTAGGCGCAACTGAAACCGAAAAGCAGAATATAACTAGCGGCTTCCTCAACGACATCACAACAAATCTCGAAGCTCTCCTCGACACAGTTTCTCGAACCGGCAAAGCTGTTAAGCAGCAATTGACTCAGCTTCAAACCAATATTGGCCAGAACTCTAAGGCGCCTTTAACGGAAACTCAACTTAGGAAAATTAAAGAGAATCTTCACGACCTCCGAAAAGTCACGTTAGCGAAGGTCATTAAGGACACTAAAGAATTCCTCAGGCCACACGCCGAACTTGCTGGTATGAGATGCATCTCAGCGTTGCAGGGCGACGTCAGACAACAGATAGACGATGCAAAAAGGCAACTGACCATCCAGGCAAAAAAGCAATACGTCAACTCTGTTAAGGAGTTGCTGTTGGCCTTTGCAAGCAAAGTCAACGATGAACTCAGAAGGCTGCCGCGAGAAATTGCCCGTGATTTGGAGATTGGCCACAAAGGATTCATGAAGAAGATGGAGGAGCATTTCGTCAAGACCGTTACAGGACTTCGAGACTTATCTCCGACGTCCCCTCCAATAACCACATCCAAGGGCCGGAAATTTTATCCGCTCAGCCAGGCATCCTCAAAATTGAATAAGGCCTACAGTGCATTCTTCAGCCACTTGGCATCTCAGTCAGACTTCAAGTCTGACTTTGACAAAATCAAGGCTTCAAGTGAAGCTATGTACAATTTGCTCAACAAACTCGTCACTTCGCAGCACTTTAACCATGACTTTAGTAATAATTTAGAGTCACTCGAAAAAACATTCACTACATTTAATCCAAAATCATACGGCGAAGCCAAGAGCCCTTTGCTACTCAACGCTTTGAGACAGGGCTTCTCGGATTTGGTCGTCGAACTCCAATTAGCGTACATATCCGCGTACGACGATGCCACAATTAACTGGGATGACGAACACAATCCCGAAAAGGGGATGTGCGCCAAAGCCTGTCTCAGCATTGTGCCCACATTATTTACCGCTTTAACGGATCTCAAAAAATGGCTCGAAAAATCAAATAGTAAGCGCAAGACGTATACCATATATAACGCTAAGAACCCTAATCACAGCTTACATAGCCGGTTCCTCCGTGAAAACGGGTACGATGCTGGCCTCCCCGACGACGCCGAATATGGCGAATTGAATCACAGACATGACTTTAATGGTAGCAATATCCTTAATAATCTCAATGGTAACGCAGATGCATTGTTCACTTCTAGCCCTACGCCACTAGCCTCACCTCTCCGTTCTGGTGACCAAGACATACCCGTGGAATACAGTGAGGAGGATGGCGTAATCCCTAAATTACACATCTACCTTAAATTATACTTTAATGTTTGCCACACCACTCACATTGACAAACCCAGAACACCGTGTAATATTTATGAGATGCTGCTTTGGTGTTCCGGTTTACAGTTTAATCGCGTATACAAAAATCTTCGTGAACATTGTGATTCATTGTTTGAGAAACAGCCAGATGAGCGCAATCCTGAACACAAAATTGCAGTACCAATTGCTGCATCTCCGAAATATATTTCCTACAATGACATTGATGCTGCAATTGATCACATTACGTCGCGCTCTTACCAACTGCTGACTGCCATACTAGGTACAGGCGATGCAGAGTGCAAGTATGCATCTGACTTCTGTACCAACGTCCTTAGATTACAATATCCCTCCAGAGGTGAGGACTGTTTGCACACGTTACTAGATATACTACGCAGAATATTCCCAGCTCTCCAGTTCCTAGAGAGCAAGTGCAGCAATCCAGCAACAGATTTTGGTTGGGGCGATTGCCTGTACGGTAAAGATATCCCTACAGCCAAATCACAGTGTACCGACCACTCAACCGACAAAGCTACGTGCCAAGCAAAATGCCAGGCAAAGTGCCAACCAAATTGCCAACCTAGATCACCATTAATGTCTTACTTAAATGACTGCTTACCGGGCCATTTGCCTCACCAATTGCAATCGGTGGGATGTAAATCTATATGTTCGACGTGTACCAAGAGCGGACCTGGTGTACCCTGTATGACGCCCCTTGGCTTCAGAGCGTTCTCAGGCAGTGTCAAAACCGGCCGTGACATTTGCGACATCATTAGAGAATTCCTAGGTAACGAGTACATTCCAGCCCTATTTAGCCTCGTTCCTAAGCCGCCGTTCACATTGCCTGAACACTTCAGTTTCACGCTGTCCTTAGTTCGGGGCTGGCATAAAACCAAAACACCAACCAAAAGCCTGATCAAACAGTCAGTTGAATCATCAATCATCGACATGTCCATCGCACTATGTGACGAGCCAAGCAACCTTACAGATGCGCTTACTGACGCATACGGCGCCGACTGCAGTAAATGCGAGCATCCTCACATCACCAATCTCACAAGCTCAGGCATATGTAATAGGGGAGGTAAAGACGTTGCCTGCGCCCCTTACCTATCGTCACTCTCCTCGGCTGTATATCGCTACATGGCGGAGAAACACGGCAAGTTGTATCTGTCGTGGGCCATTTACCTTCCTTGGGCATTCCATAATTATTTGCGTGAATTAATCGAAGCCTTCGCGGCCATATTCTGCGAGGACTGGGGATGCCGCTCGTGCTTACAAAGCGCCAATTGCAGGCGCGGGAAGCATGGACTGAGCGAAAAGAAGGATGACGAAGATGCAAAGCCTCATTGCCAGTGCGCTTCCATTGCGAAATGTAAGGGTGTCACGCCAACCTTTTACAGCTATGGGTTTATCGTTCCTGATGCATGGACGTTAGATGAAGAGGGCACAAGGAAGACATGCGACAATTTCTACGACGAATTAAAGAATGTCGTTGAATCAAAATATTTCACGAAGCTGTTCGACGCGTGCGACAATTTCCTTAAAGAAATAAGGTGGCCTTTCATGCTAACATTATTATCCCTCTGGTCCCTCTCTTTGCTCTACGTGCTGCACATCACCGTCGTCCGCCTCGACGTCCTGAGGATACGCTCCCACCTGCGCTCGCCCTCAAGCCACCGCATCGCCGCGCAGTCCCTCCTCGCCGCCGCACGCGTCAAGGCACTCGCCAACGTCAAGTACTTCTCACCATAATCGTGTTTTCGTGTGATCTAGGGACCATTTAATGAATTCATCCACTTCACTGCATTTCACTTATTTCACCTACCCATTTCAACCATTTCAATTCACTTTACTTCATTTTTTTAACCCATTTCAATTCATTTAATTCATTTACAATGATTACTTCATTTCATTTCCATTTACCCATTTACATACTTTACTGACCATTTAATTCATCTAATTACATTTATTTCTAATGCATCTCTTATTTATTTCTTAATTTACTTAATGACTTACTTACTTAATGCATTTCTTACTTATATTTATATATTTATTTACTACTTTATCATTTACCCATTTCTTACTTTTCAAATTGTTTTGTTCCTTTTCATTTTCACATCTTCCTCACCAGTCTGTTCCTCTAATCTTCATTTTTCCACTCTTCCTCCACTCCTCCCAAATCTTTCCTCAACCTATCTTCCCCTCTTTCAGTCTCTTGCCTTCACCTCTCACCTGTCCACGCACCTCCCCTCACTGCCTCCTTGACTCCATTTTACCTTTCTTCCCAACCTCCAAATCGCCCTGAAAATGTGTCTAAAATAATCCTTCAACATTATTAAATAACCTCTGCACAGGCCTCGAAAAATTCTCGGCTACGATAATGGTATATAATCCGGCTCCGGCATCGTGTACTGGACCTTGACAGGGTGGGGTGATGGTGGCGTTTGCATTCCAGCTTAATGATGTCTATGAGAAACAGCCCTACAAAGTAGGGAAAGAAAGCCATTTGAAGAGTGTTGTTGATGCTTTGAATGAGAAATTATGTTCAGGTCATGATGGTTTTAAGAGAGTCATTGACTTGGTGGCCGATGGTGTCGGGAGGTATAATAAGGAGGTGGAGAGATCTAATAGAAAAATTAAAAGTAAAATAGAAAGATTGCTAGAGCAGGTAGGTGAAGAGTTCGAGAGCATGATTACGAAGATTCCTGGTGAAGAAATTTTTGGTAAACTGCAGTATATTGGTGAACAGGTTAGTGATGCAAAACTGTTTGCCGAAAACTATGTGGGATACGGCGCAACGTTTGAGAGTAGGCTTCAGCCCTGAACAAAATATAAATGATCTCAATTCACAGTGTAAGAATAATGTGATCAACGCGAGAAAACAGATTAAGCATGAGACTGAGAGGCTTCGTAAATTGTCGGAGAAGGAATGGAAGGACTTGAAAACCATGGAAATGAACATTGCGACGGTGCTTCAAAAGCTCGGAGTTGACGTTAACTCGCATATTAGTAGGGAAGTGAAAACACTAGTTGAGAATTTGAAAGCATTGGTTCAAAAAATAAGAAATCTGCTCAACGATATATTCAAACAGCTGAGCAACTACATTTTCGAGTTGGAAAAGTGGATGAAAAATGCGGACACTATGGTGAATAGTGCAATGGAAGGGACGACGGAAATTGCCGATAAGAAGCCCGGAAAGAATAATCAGGAGATGATTAACGCAAAAGCGGGGCAGGTTAAAGATTGGAGTGGTTGGCTTGAAAGGTATATCGCGGACCTTAGCCGTCTCACAGGTCAGGTTAATGGGAAGGTTGCGGCGCTTGCAGGGGCGTTTAGTGATCTTGGCAGCGATAAAAATATTAAAGGGATTTTTGATGACCTTAGAGGGAAGGCTTTAACAATTAAATCGAAGGTTGAAATGAATAGTCTCAATGACACTATTCAGCATAATTGGGAAAATCTCAAGTTGAAGATTAAGAAACTTGTTGAAGATATAAAGGGTAAGGACGAAGATAGAACCTTCGGTCATATTGCCAAAATTATGAAATCTGTTGCAGCGTGGGCTAAGAAGTTTGACGACGCGAAAGAGATGGAGAATGAGCATGATATGAAATTTGACGATGTAGTACAGGGATGGGTGGAGGAGATTTTGAACAACAATCATTTGGTGGCGGGATGGATTAAGGAGTATTTTACTAAGAGCCATAAGGGTAGTGAGTCACCATATAGTATTGACGGCTTTTGGAAAAAGGAGGATGTTACCAAGCGGATGGCAGAATATATTATGCAAAACATCGAGAAATCCAAGATTACTGCAGCGCAAACTATGCTTACACCACAAGAAGACGATGATAGGGACAAAATTGAGACATACGTCCAAGCTGTCCAGAATGTTTGTAATACTTTTGCCGACGCACTAGATAAGAAGCTTGGATCTCAGGAAATTGATAAGCTCGTTGAAGCTGTAGCTCAAGCAATCGACAAAGGATTTGCGACGCCGGCTCACTCACTTACAGGCTCAGAACCTAAAGATTACATTGCATGGGCCATCAAATATACTCTCCACCAGCTGGTTGGAATGGGGAGAGGGGCGGCTGAAGAACTTCAGTCGTTCATCGACGCGGCGAAGATAGACACTAACCTGAAGCAGATTATAAGTAGCGTTGAATCAATCGGTAAGCAATTTGACGAAGATAATAACGCGCATCCAGACGAAGACTACGGCTACCATATAAATAAGGCATTGCAAACCGTGAATCCCACAATTGACAAACTCCACTCCCAACTCAACGCGGCGACTGGACAACCCAGCTCCGGCACAAATCACGCCGACGAAGTTGATAAGGCGATTGAAGCGGTCAAAAACAAAGCGATCGAACTAACCACTGGCGACACAACTGGCATGGCAGCACTGTCCCACGAAATCAAATCTAATCTCGTGGCTCTGACAGGGGAATTTGCCATCGCTGGTAAAAAGGTCAGTGAGCAATTGGAAAAGCTTAAAAAGGAAATCTCTTTAAACAAGGATGGAGAAGGCCTACATAAAATTCACAAACAACTTAAAGAGCTGCACGGAGGTGCAGTCACTGATGCCCTCAGTGCTGCTGAGAAATTCCTTAAACCGGACGCCTACAAACTTCGAGATGAAACTATCGAAAAACTCCGGGGACAAGTCGACAAGGAAATAGAGAACGCTAAAAAGCTAATGATCAAACAGGCACAGAAAATTTACGTGACGTCAGTCAAAGAGATGCTGAAGGCCTTCGCCGATAAGGTGCAAAAGGAGCTGCAAGATTTGCCCAAGCAAATTGACAAAGAGCGAAAGGAGGGCTTCAAGGGTTTTATGAGAACCGTTGAAGGCAAAATTACCGATAATGCAACGACTGACGAAAACATTAAAAAGCTCAAAGATCTTGCAAGTGAGTCCGCTGACACAGCTGAGCAGAAAGCAACACTCTTCAAAACGCTGTCTACAAAATTCAAGGAATTCTTCGGGCCACTAAAGGGGTATTTGGACACGGAGATCATGAGACTCTATAAAGACAGCAACGCAAAGAAGAATCCTCCAGTAACAATTGGAGATAAGGATCCACATCCTTACGCCGACGCACTTGACGCCGTGCAATCCAAACTAAACACTCTCCTCGACGAACTTCACAACTCCAATCACTTCACTCACAGTCTCACCATTAATCTTGGTAACCTTAGCACCGCACTTAATAGTTTAGTTCCGACAAATTTCGAGGGCCCGTGCAACACGCTGCCGGACGTTCTCAAGGTCGGACTGAGAGGGTTCCACGCTGAACTCGAAAAGGCGTACGTGTCGGTGTATGATGGTGTTAACTTTGGTGCTTCGTTGACGGAGACTAAAGTACACGCTGATGGACGTACATCCGGGAAGTTAACAACGTACGGCACGAAGTGCGCAAAAGTCTTCCTCACACTGCTTTCCATATTATCTGACGACTTAAACGCATTAAAAACCATTTGTAAAGGCACATGTAAATTTGAAAAGATTAGCAAATCCACTACGCTTGGTGAATTCCTTGCCGATAACGGTTTTATTGTATGCAAGACAGATAATCAAGACGGTGAGCTGCGCGGAAATGAAAAGTTCCGAGGTCAGCATATACATACAAAACTAAATGAAAACATTGACGGCGCCGAGCGTAATCCACATCTTCCGAAGTGTAAGAAAGAAAGTGAAGAAATTACACAAGCTCCTGCAAAATACAGTTTAATGTGACAGACATTCTCGAATGTCTCGTCAGACACCTCCACCAATATAACCGTGTGTCTCACCTAATTGTCCACCCTAAGCCTAAGCATCCGTCATCTATTTATGATATGCTCACATGGCTTAGCGGTCTCATTTATAATGCCGTAAACAATGACTTAGCACTTAACGGTTTTCCTCAGCTATTTGATAAGCCTAAGATACCGGCGTCAGAGGACAGCAACAGTGCTGAGCCTGTCGTCCTAGTGGAAGATGACGACGCTTTAGAGGCATATCCAAAGAGGATCACAGCTACGGGCCTGTCAGACACTTTTGCAGCAGTGTGCCACAAATCACACGCCGTACTCACCGCAATCTTTGGGCACGGCCACTCGGTGGAATTTATGCTTGCGACTTCAATACGAATCCACAAGGGTTCCTATATCCCGCACTTTAACGCATTAGTCTGTATGCTCTTCGAATGCCTGAAACGTGTCCACCACCAGCTTTATCTGTTGTATCAGCAATGTAAACACACTTCCAAACTTAGCGGTTGGAGCGATTGCCATTACGGTAGAAACGTCGGCGGTTCGTCGTGGAACTGCAACACAAACCAATGCGCTGACCTAGACTGTCCTAAAAAGGCTGACCAAAGTGCCAACCAAAATGGTAACCAACGTGCCAACCAAAGCACTAACCAAGCATGTAAGCAACACCCTAACTGTGGCCTAAAAATCCCTCTACAATCCTTCCTCGAAGATGGTCTCCAGGGGTTCTGCCACATAGCGTAACAGTTAGAGGCACCGGCCTCACTTGTTCCACCTGTAGTAAGGTCCCCTGGCATTCCCTGCAGAACTCCAATGGGCTTCGGAAATAAGCCCTCACCGCATCACACACAAAGACGGGAGCTCATATATGCGATGTTCTTACAAATTCTGCCACAGTGTACACTCTCCCTAACCAAGTTGTGCAGTCAGCTAAATTGCGTACTGCCCAGTGCGCCTAAAACGTTGGATCAGATGTTTGCGTTTTATTATCATCTGCTCAGTGACCGTTTAAGAACACGGCACATAGGACAGATGCCTTTAATAAGGCCGTCATCGCAGCCAATTTCGACAATTCACAACGTTGACGTTAGCAGTCTGGTCGGCAGCAGTAATCACTCTGAAAACCATCTGACAGGTGGCCTCAATACCCTTGTAAAATGCCAAGATAACGGGGGCAGCCCAGTCCATCCCTGCGGTTCATACTTGAAGCCGCTTTATGATGGTATATACGGTGCGGTTTCTAAAGACCACGCTGCCAAATATCTCTTGGGTGCTATATATAACAGGAACGTTTTATTTGTTTAAGTCGCTGTATGAGGAGGTGCTGCAGCATTGCACTAAGCCGGGAACCACGTGCAATGGTCGAGGATGTCACAAGGAGTGCATGGTTAAAGGAGGATTCCTATAGTGAAATCAACTCCCAGTCATTGGTCGGAGTGCAAATCGATTGTCAACTGTAAATGACACTTCCCACATTATGTAAGTATGGTATGTATTTTGCAAGTAAATCTCACCTGAATGGAGAGAGAGATGGAACTGAAAACGTACATGTGAAGACTTTGCACATTAGAAAAGTTGTAGGAAGGAACGTATTGTATACGTTGGTACATAAATTAATACCAGACTTTTGTTCAAGATCGTGCAACCATTCATATGGACACTTAGCCTCTGGTCGCTGTCGCTCCTGTACCTGCTGCACATCACCGTCGTCCGCCTTCGACGTCCTGAGGATATACGCTCCCACCTGAGGTCACCTGCCACCGCATCGCCGTGCACCGCTACTTCGCCGCACGCGTCAAGCACTCATCTCCGCCAGTAATTTCGCCATATACAGTTCTTCACGTGTGATCTGTATCACCCACCCACTTCACCTACTCACCTACTCAGTTACCTACTTCCAACCACCTACCCACTTCATTTTACTTCAACTACTTCACCACTTCACCTTACTTCAACTACCTACTTCAACTACTTCATTTCATTTCACATTTCATTTCTGCTCTACTTAATTCATTTCTTTCACTTAATCACTTTTCCACACTTCATCATCTTCCTTTCATTGAGCCGTTTGCTCTCCTTCCATCTTTCCTTCCTCACTTCCTCCTGTTGAGTGTCCTCCACCTAAATTCAGTTTTATTCTTTCCACTTTAAATCGTTTTATTTCCACTCCATCTTCCTCTCTTCATTTCCCTTCCTTGCCTGTCACCTTCACTTGTTCCACTCCATCACCTCACTTCGTTTGCTGTTTCGATCTAAAATTTCCAATTTCTCGTTCTACAAGTGATTATCCTTTACTTTCTAACTTTAACTCTAATTTCCAATTCAGAGACAATATAATGGCCATTACAATGAAGTTCATTACCTTACTGAGGATGCGAGAAAAGGAGCCTTAGGGGACATTGAGGAGAGGCAGAAGACTCTTAGTAAGCTCAAAGAAGATCTTGAAAAATTTATTGGTAAAACAGAATCTGAAAATCCTGCAACAGGAATTCTTAAAAATCTCACTGAAGGCTTAGAGAAATTCTTAGGGTACGATGGAAATTCCAAAGGCTACGATGGCTCCGGCATCGTGTACTCCGACCTTGACAGGCTGTGCGACGGGGTGATGTCTTTCCTTCATGGTGTTCTTGAGACTGTAAAAAATGATGATAACGTTACAACTTATGATAAAGATAACAAAATCAAGAATCTTCCTTCAAAAATCAGTAAGTTGATGCATAATGGTTCTCATGGTTTTTCGCAGGCCATCACACAAGTCTCCGCGGCGCTGCAGGCGTGGAGCGGTGAGCTCGAGAGGAGGACTGGAGAAGTTACTTCACAATTAGATTCACTTAGCGCACATATAAACAAAAACATTAATAGTGTTAATAAATTGCATGACTATGACACTGATGTAGCTAAATGGCAAGAGACCGTCATGGGTCAGCTGATTCCGACGACCTACAAAGTCGATTCGGCAATTAAAAAGCTTGACGGTACATTGCAGAATAGGGTGCAGCAAGCATATAACTTGGTTGAATTACATATCCATAATGTTGATGACGGTGTGGAGAGGGAGCAGAAGCATATGATGGCGTTTGGGAATAAGGTTAAAGGGAAGCTAGAAAAGATCAAAATTGCGGTTAATAAAAATATTGTAAACTGCTTCAAGGAGCTCAGTAAGACGGTGGAGCATAGCATTAAGAATATTCACAAGCAAGTAAAACAAATTGATGATTTGCTTAAGGAGCGTGTTGAGGAGTTGCAAAAATGGATTGGAAGCGCTGATGAGACAATGCAGAGTGCGTTGGGAAAGGTGACAAAAATATTGGAGGAAGTTGACAGTTCTGAAAAATCTGTGAGTAAGGAAGGGATTGAGGCTGCGGCCAAGGATATTGAGAGACAGGCTGATATATTTCATAATCAATTTACGCAGCTGAAGGACCAGTATAATGATGTTTTTACAAAACTTAAAGGAAAAAAGGGAACGGGTGAAAAGGGTCCGGAGGGCGGCGTGTTGGGAAAGCTGCTAGGACTTTATGAGACTGTTAAGGGACGGGTGCCGGGAAGATTTGATGACTTTAATACGGATAGCGGTGAATGGTATTTGAACAAAAGCAGTGAAATCAGTAATATTACGGAGCACATTAAAACGAGCATTAAGGCGTATGTAACCAAGCAATTGGGAGGGAGGCTGAAGACTGCGCTCAAAAAGTACACTAAAATTATTGCGGACGACGATGAAGATGATAGTGATGACGATAATCACGTCGGTGTCCTTGAGTTAATCGAAACAGGCCTAATGACTCACGCTATGAAGTTCAAGTATAATTTTAATAATGAGATATTGCCGGGGTGGCTGGATGATATTTTGGGGAGGGATGGGAAAGGTGGGATTAACGCTGTGAAATCCTGGATGAAGCAGTATGCTGATGGCCACATAAGTCAGGATATTAAGGAAAATATTGTGAAAGATAAGGTTAGCACACACGTTAAGACTCAGATTATAAAACACCTTAGCGCCCAAATCTCGGAAGCTCAGAATAGGATTGCAACAGAAAACGATATAACGACCAATCTGATCGCTGTGACGGGCATTTGCAAAACATTTGCCGAGCAACTCGGGCAGAAATTTGACAAGGGAGACATTAGTTATAGTAGTAGTGGTTTGTTTGTGAGAGGCATTGTCGACACGATTGAAGCCGAATTAGAAACTTCGACAGCTCGTCCATCCTTCAGATCAACTCTTCAAGAAGTTGTGAAAACCACCGTCATTGCGCTATGTTCGAAGGCCAAGCAAGTTGAAAACGAACTTGGATCATTACTGGATGAAAAAGGCATAAACATCGGCAAAGTTAATGAGGCCATTGCGCAGGTTATATCGCTCGGAGGCAGTCTTGAGAAAGAGATTGCAACCGCTCCAGACACTCTCGGACCTCTAGGTGAAACAATCAACGAAGCGCTTGGCGATGCAGCCACCGGCGAAGAGTTCAACAACAGGCTCACCGCGCTCCTCCACGAGGCGGTAATCAAAGGAGTAGGGGCGTTTGAAAAGGCACTTCAGGGTCCAGTTATTCAGGTGATAAGTGATATGAAAAAGGATATAAACATACAAACATCGGTTGCGGAGTCCACAAAAAGTCAGATTGAAACACAAGCCAGAAAAGTAACCTCCACCCTTAAAGCCCTCTGCCAGGCTATCAAAGCGCAGGCAAACGACCAAGATGGGCTGAAGCACGTCTTAACAGAGTTTAAAACAAAGACAATTGGTAGGGACTCTACGGGGGAGCTCCAGCAACTCAAAGAGAGATTTAGCCAACTCCAATCCGACAACGTCGACAAACTTACCGACGCCGTGGGGAAGTTGCTTATCGATACCTTTCCAAATGCGGTTCGAAAATGCACTCAAACCATCCGTGTTCACTTTGAAGCAAAGATTGATGATGCAGTGTACGACATCAAAAAGGATGTGCTGAAGCGCTATGTGACGTCTAAGAAATCGGAGCTTCAGCAACTGCGGGATTTCGTTGACGAGAAACTTCAAGAGGTAACAAAAATTATTGAAGCAGATAAACAAAGCGGCCTGAAAGGCTTCCTTAGAACCCTTATTGGCGTTCCGGCGGATGAGAGAGTTATAACTACCGATAACAAACTTGACGCCGTTAAAAATTACGATCATTCACTTACTACACACCCCGCCAAATTCCAATCCCTCTCCGAACAATCCCTCGCCTACCTAAAACACATCCACACTTACGTCTCCTCCGACCTCCCCAAACATCTCCCCTCCTCCCAATACCCCTCCCAACTTTCCACAATCCACTCCCATCTCTCCACCCTCCTCTCCCACCTGTCCGCCGCAAAACACTTCACCCACGAGGTCCCCGGAATGCTCGCGGAACTCAAGGCATCCGTCCAAGCACTCCACTCCACAGGCTTCGGCAACCCCGCGTATCCCGTGCTCGACGCTTTCCCCAAGAGCCTGCTGCCGTTCGTCGAGCAGCTGGAGAGGGGGTATGTTAATAGGTATGAGGGGGGTGAGGAAATATTATTGTATAACTACTTGAGTAAAAAAATAACTCCGGAAGGCGAAAAGTGCGCTAAGATATTTTTGACCTTACTGGAGACGGTGAATTATGATTTACGGGATTTACTCAGTGGACATGATTCTCATAAAGCGTTGCAGATTTATCTAAAGGGAGAGAATAGACTTGGTCGCTGGTTTAAGGGACGGGGCTTCAAAGTCTCCGATGATGACAAGACGCAGAATGGGGAGTTAGACCGCAAGAAGACAGGAGGAGATATTCGTGAGCTTCTTGTCAAAGATGACGGGAAACACGTCTACAGGAAGGACACCGGTAAAACAGATACTGGCCCACTCAGGCAACTTGTAGGCCCCCTTAGAGACTATTATCGTGTGTGTCACTATGAAATTCTTCCAAAACCCAGAGCGCCGAGCAGCGTGAAAGATATGCTTCAATGGCTCCTCGGGTTATACTTTAACCCGATTTATAATAAACTTGGTGAGTACTTCAAGGAACTGTTCGAAAAGCCTAAACATCATGAAGATAAAAAATATTCCGAAATTGATGAAAGCCAACTTAGTCTAGATGCCACGTCAACAATTACGCCTAAGGAACTCAAAGAGATACTTCGGGACGTCTGTCTGCACTCTGAAAACACATTGATCGCAATCCTCGGCCGCGGCCATGAAAATGGCAGTTACGCCGTTGACTTTTATACAAACGCACACAAACTAGACTATCCTAGTAGCCCATCCGTCTGTTTTGACTTGCTTGTAGATATATTATTTAGAGTGTATCACCAACTCCATTTCGTGTTTAGCCAGTGTCAGAATGGCACTAGTCGTGGCGGCTGGTCCGACTGCTACTACGGTCGTGGTGTTGGTGGCTCCGATTGGAACTGCAACAAAATGCAGTGCCCTGATCAAATGTGTGGTCAAACGTCTACCCAAAACTGCAACCAAAGTGCTACCCAAAATCACAACCAAACAGCTGACCAAAAGTTTAACCAGCATCCTATTTGCGGCCTTAAGTCACCGCTCCAGTCATTCTTTGAAGACGGACTCCCTGGGTTCTTACCACACTCATTCAAATCGCCAGGTTGCAAACTGGAATGTACTTTAGCCAACACAGAGTAGCCCATGTCTCACCCCATGGGACATTAGCGCTACCGCCTCAACAAATAAAGGTGAACACCTCTGAAGGTCTTTACAAATTCTGCGGTCCAGATTCATACCTCCGTAAATTGTGTTGTCAGCTCAATTGCCTCCTTCGTCGACCGCCGCAGACCCTGGGTGATATGCTAGCCTTCTACCATAGTTACCTTTCCACCTGGAGTGGTGGTAGTAAAGACCATAAGAGCGTTGCGTTCAATCAAGCCGTGAGCGACGCCAACTTTGGGGATGACGCAACAAAGTTGGAAGTTGTGTCCATACAAGGCAGCAAGTCTCACACTGCTAAACATTCCAAGTGACCTGTTTAGCATTATTATGTGCCCTAAGACAAATTCGGCCTACCATGCGGATCGTATTTGTAGTACAATCAGCGAATACATCAGGTTGATATATTCTAAGGAGCACGCCAGTATTACTCGTCGTGGGTTGTATATATTACTGAGACGTTCTGATTTGCTTAAGAAATTGTATGACGACTGCCGTGCAAACAAGCCGTCTCTAAGTGTATTGTTCCAGATGCGCTAATCACTGTCAGGTGAAATCTATTATGACTTCAAACAACGGATATGAAAAGGCCAAATCATCAGCATCCGATAAGTTAAACACTCAAAATTATGCACTCCATCCTCAACTGCAAAAAAACACATTCTGATCGTCATACACTGCTGGTTTTACCTTCGAGCCAGCACAAATCCAAGCGGTGAAACAGATAGAGCCACGAGCGTACATGTGACGATTTTGTAAGACACTGATTTGTTGTAAAGGATGGCAGCGTAATGTATATGACTTTAGTACATAAGCATAGATTCCGGGACATATGGTTCAAATTCTACACTTCCTCATTCCTTCTGTCGCTGTCGCTCTCAGCCTGCTGCACACGCCGTCGTCCGCCTCGACGTCCTGAGGATGCCGCTCCCCACCTGAGATCACCTGTAAGCCACCGCTGCATAGTCCCTGCTCGCCGCCGCACGCGTCAGCATTCGCCAACGTCAAGCATTTCACCATAATGCCTTCACTACTCACTCAACCACCCACTCACCCACTCAACCACTCACTCACTCAACTACTCACTCACCCACCCTTTACTCATTCACTTACTTCACTCACTTAATTACATAATTCACTTACTTAATTCATTTCTTTCACTTCTTCTTCATTATTGTCATCCACTTTTCATCACTTGATGGCTTCCTTGAGAACCTAAATCTTTATTTTCTTTGCTTTTTCTTCTTACTCTGAATTCCATTCTTTAATCTATTTTTTATCGTTTTGCCTTTACTTTACCCTGTCCACCCACCTCTTTCACTATTTCGTTTTCTATTACGAATTCTCCAAATCTCTAATTACAAAATGTGCCATTTCATCCCCCTTTACTTCTTTTAACTACCCCTTAATCCACCTTTAATCCAACTACAATGACCATTACAATGAAGTTCATTACCTCACTGAGGATGCCAGAAATAAAGCCTTGGATGATATTGATGCCCGCCGTATCTCCCTTGGTCAGCTTTCTGGACAGCTTTCGGGATTTATTGGCAAAAGTGAGGAAGTTACGGAGGCTATTAGTGCTGCAATTACATGTGTTAAAGAACAGATTAAAAAGTGTGAAGAGTGTCAAAAGCTTTCGATAAATCGTGCAGAAAATATTAAGGATCTACAGTCTTGTCACTGTCCTGAACATGATAATAAACTTAAAGATCTTCAAAATAAAAACGAAAAAACTGCGAATTCAAATGAGAATCCTAAAACACTTCTGACTAATCTCACAGACGGTTTAGAAAAGTTTTTAGGCTTCAACCCTGATTCCAAAGGCTACACCGGCTCCGGCATCGTGTACTCGGACCTTGACAGGCTGTGCGACGGGGTGATGGCGTTTCTCCTCCAATGTCTTGAGGGCGCTAAAACACTTTTACATCATTATTTTCCTGATATTACAAGGGCAATTAGTGACTTGGAACGTTCAATAGGTAAGGGCCGTGGTGTTTCAGGATTTGCGCAGGCCATTGGGATTGTGCAGCGTGGGCTGGAGGGGTATGAGAGTGGGATGGAGGAGAGGATTAGTAACATCAAAGAGCCATTAACGACATTGATAAATCACGTCGAAACTCAATTGGAGCAGTTTAAGAAGCCCGATTATAAAGAGGGCCAAACACGGAAGACTGACGAGGAACTTAGCAAAATTTTTAATGTTGGCAATGTTGAAACAGTCCTGGCAAGTTGTATTCAAAAAACCAAAAAATATATTGCTGATATATTGGACGCTGAAAACTATGGTCTCCGACTCTTGGATCCTGAGTTTCGTAGTAAGCTTCGAGAGCCATTAATGAGGATTAGGCAGGAAGTAAAACGCTTCTCGAAATCGTCGGACAAAGATTTTTTGCAGTTGGAGGAGATGAAGAAGACGATAAAGACAACGCTTGAATCTCTTAGAAAGAGTGTGAAAAAAAAATCTATGATGATGTTACTGATTTGGTTTACGAGTTACGTAAAAGGGTAGCTGCTATTAGGGTTCAGATTGAAGGTATTGAGATAATTCTAAGTAATCGCATTAAGGAGCTGGAAAAATGGATTGAAGAGGCGAGCGCAGTTGTCACAGAAGCGGAGACGCAGGTGGGCATCATTGAAAAGGAGGTTAATGATCCACCAAGTGGTCACAGTAATAATAAGAGTAAACTTCAGTCTATGGCGGAGAAAATTGAGAAGCAACTTGGCACGAAAGTTAAAGAATTAAAGGATTGGATCGAGAATGCTGATAACGTTATGAAGGAGGGGTTGGCGAAGGTGAGATCGATATTGGCACAGGTCAATCAGCCAGGTGATTTAGAAACAAATAATAAGAAAGATATAGAAGGGCGGCTACAGATATTCAGGTGCAGGTCCCCATGCTTCATCAGAAGGTTACCGAGCTGAAGGACAAATACAATCAGTTTTACGATAACGTTAAAGGACCGGATGGGAACGGCGGACTATTAGAAAAGCTTAAAGGAGCTAACGTGGAAGTTAAGAAGGTGGTTAAAAGAACAACATTGAAGACGTTTAAAGATAAGGATAATGGTGGTTGGGATTTGACTGAGCAGATAGACGGGCTTACAGATCATATTGAGACAATCTTGAGATGTACGTCAATAACTTGGACATGGTTTTGCAGAAAGGCGTGGGTGGCGTTGGTAACTACGTTTATGGATTTACGAAAAATGGCTTTGACGCATTACAGAGCGCCTTGTCTAATGGTACTTTAAAAAACGATTTAGGTAAATTCGGGATAAAACTTTATGAGTTGCTGCAGAATGCCACCAGAAATGGTCTCGAGTATATTTTAGAAGATGTATTTCATGCTATAAAACAAGCAAAAGATATCTGGGGTGACGCTCAACCAGCCTTTGCGGAACTTATCTCCGAACTTCAAACCGATCTTGATACAAAAATCACCGCCGGCAAGTTTGAAAGTCACCTAGTTTCACTTCTGAAAACTACGGCAAACACTGCAATTAATAAGCTTCAGGCGGCGGTTACGAAGATGATCATTGAAGAGTCTAATAAGAATCTCGTTATGAGTGGTGTGGGTACGTTGTTATCACAGGCCAAAGATGCCAAAGAAGCAATTGAGAGGCAGGCGAAGCTCGTCGCCGACAAGCTTCGCCTCATGTGCACTGCTATTAACGATGCTGCGGGAGATCAAGCAGGTCTGCAGAAGGTATTGTCAGATTTGCAGACGCTGGGCCTTGCTGAAGGCGACCAAAAATGGCAAGGAAAGGATCATTCTGCCAGGGGTCTCAGAAAAGTAATGAGTGAGGTTGAAGAAATGGAAATAAAGGATGCGCCAGCTGTCACAACCAGCCTCAGCCTCCTGTGCACTGAAATTGCCAACGCGACCGAAAATATAAAACTTAAACTGAACAATTTAAAAAAGCAGAATATTAGTGGTACTAAAGATAATGAACTTGCTGGGATTAGAACGAATATCAATAAATTGAAGAATAACGAGGTAAAATCAGCCATCCAGGCCGCCATGAAATTTATCGAATCTGAAGCCAATGAAGAAGGGAAAAAGACTACTAAGAAATTAGAAGAACACGTCGACTACGAGGTGAATGCCGCCATATCAACACTCACCGATCTGGCCGAGAAGCAGTACGTCGACTCCCGGATCCACGAGCTGACTATATTTGCTGCCGTTGCTAAGAAGCAGTACGTTCGCATAATAGACATTATCTATCAAGACAAAATTACTTGCACGAAAGGATTCTTAGGAACATTTAATTCTAAATTCATAACCAGAGTCTCGGAAATAAAAGACGTTCAGAAGTACATTTCATTCGTTGAAATCCCCCTAATGCACCGAAGAACTCTCCACTGAGCCAGGCGGCTAAAATAGTTAATGACGGTTTTCGCAATTTCCTTTCGGACTTGGGACAGCAAACCGATTTTGAACCTGTGTCATCCAATCTCTTCCCCTCGGCAGATGCACTGGGCAATTTGCTCAAAGGTCTTCACACTTCTGAACACTTCGACTACAAATTTAGTGAGCACTTAGATGCACTAGACAAAGCACTAAGCACTTTCACTCCTACCAAATTCACCGATCCCTCTAACGCAATTCTGCAGTGCCTTAAAGATGGCTTCGAAAAACTATACGAACAGTTGAATATGGCCTACGTTTCCAAGTACTCCGGAGCATTCAAAATGTTCAACTGGGACGCCGACGGGCCAAAGGCCGCCCGGGCATGTCTGAGTTTTCTACCCACGCTGGCCCAGGATTTGATCACGTTGAAGAGTTACAGCAACAGTGACTGGCAAAACAAGCAAATATATTTATATGAACGTACTAAAAATACCAATAGCCTTGGAGTATTCCTTGCTAACCGTGGCTTCAGTGTTTCCAAACGTGATAATGGCTACGAGGGGGAATTGAAAAACAAGCCAAATTGCAAGGGTTCAGACATCTTCGGCAAGCTCACCGGAAAAATAAATGGCGGTGCAGATAGACTCTTCACCTCCATAAAAGGGGAGAAAGAAGAAGGCTTAATTACGAAGCTGTTCAATTATTACGAGATGTATTTGCGTGTTTGCCACCAAACGCTTCCGTCCCCAGCCAGATACCCTTGCTCAGTTAGGGACATGCTCTCTTGGATGTCCGGCGTTCCGTATAGTCACGTGTTCAGTAAAGTACATGGACATGTAAAATCGTTGCTCAATGAGGACGCCAACAAAAAAGACACAGTCATGACGACGGTCCTCAAATCCCAAACGTATAACCCTCTTAAGGACTCATGTAAGAGGTCCGCTCACCTACTCGTCGCCATCTGCGGCAACGGTCACGGCGCAGAGGAATGTGATTATCCGTACAGCGTGTGTTTCTCCAATAACCACGGTAATTTCTATTATCCTTCAGACCCAGCGACGCTCCTCGGAATGGTGTATGACATAGTCAGACGTCTATGTTACGTGCTCTATTTCCTGTATGCACAGTGTAAGCGTACTGCGTCCGCCGGCAACGGATGGAAAGAGTGCGCCTACGGTCAAAATGTGCCTTCGGCAAACTGGTCATGTAAGGACCACTCAAACATTAGACCAAATGGTCAACCAACTGACCAACCTAAGTGCCAACCAAATGGTCAAGCAAATGGCCAGGCAAACACAAAACTGAATTGCCCACCTACGTCTCCACTTCAATCTTTCCTTAGAGACAGCTGTGCTGGCTTCCTACCGCATGTCCTCACTGCAAAGAACAATGCCATTCAATGTTCTAGTTGCAAACACAACCAACCGGGTCAGCAATGTCTTACCCCAATGGGCTTCCGCGACCTTGACTTCGCTGCCTCTATAGAACATACCGGCGAATACCTTACGTATTATCTGGGTCAACTGTGCAGTGATGCAGATGCGTGCCTCTTCGAACTGTGTCGTTCGTTGTCGTATATCTGTCCCACAGCGCCGAAGACATTGGCAGATATGTTTACGTTATACACCCAGTTGTTTAGGAAGTGGGAGTTGGACAAGACACGCAAAGCATCATCGTATTATGATAATAGTGCATACCTTACTCACATTAAGGATAGCACTATCGAAAAGTCCTTCCCACTTAACAAAAATGTTCACGATAACTTCGACAACTCCAGCCTGACCACCGCTATCACGGCGCTTGTTGGACATGGCCATCGGAGTCACGATGCGCTTTCCAGTCTTTTTACTACAGATGCCTGTACAGGAACTGACCTATGTGCCCTTTCATAAGACCGCTGGCATTTTCTACTTGTCACACCTATCCACAAAAGCACGCCAAATCGTACCTTTCATGGATACTGTATTTAGCGTGGATTTGTGGAAATTCCTAAAATCGTTTTTCGACGCTTTTGAGCAAATTGAGTGCAAAGCGCACGGTTGTTCAACGTGCAGTTGCAGGCCAGGTAAACATGGCCATTGTGATCAAGACACGTCGTCATGTAAATGCCCATCTGTCGTTAAATGTCAATCCGTGCTTCCGTTGTTGTACAAATATGGGATGACATTTGGCAGCACCAGTAGATTGCAACCCACAGATGGAGTTAAAAGACAATGTCACCATTTGCACAAGCAGCTTAACAGCGTGCTGAAATCGCAACTATTCGATACATTATTCAAGGAATGCGATAATTTCTTGTGGTACATAAGATTACCATTTTCTTTCATCCTCCTCGCCCTCTGGTCGCTCTCGCTCCTGTACCTGCTGCACATCGCCGTCGTCCGCCTCGACGTCCTGAGGATACGCTCCCACCTGCGCTCGCCCTCAAGCCACCGCATCGCCGCGCAGTCACTGCTCGCCGCCGCACGCGTCAAGGCACTCGCCAACGTCAAGTACTTCTCACCATAATCGCGCCTTCACGTGTGATCTGTGTATCACCCACTCAACTACTCACTCAACCACCCACTCACCCACTCAACCACTCACTCACTCAACTACTCACTCACCCACCCACTCACCCACTCACTCACCACTCACTCAACCACACACTCACTCACTCAACCACTCACCTAATCACTCACTCACTCACATACTCAACCACCCACCTCCTCCGTCGGCGTCCTTCGCCCAAATCCTCATTTTCCACTTTCTCCCTCGACCTCCGAAATCCCCTTACCTCAGCCCATCTTCCCCCTTCATCGCCCTCTTTCGCCCCTTCACCTCCCTCGCCTTGTCCACCTCCCTCGCTCCCTCGCTGCCTCACTGCCTCCTTGACCTAAAATCGCCTTTCTCCAAATTCCCCCAAATCGCCCTAATAATGTGCCTAAAATAATCTTGCAACATTTCTCAACTTCTTCACTTTCCTCTTGTTAGCCCTCTGGTCGCTGTCGCTCCTGTACCTGCTGCACATCGCCGTCGTCCGCCTGGACGTCCTGAGGATACGCTCACACCTGAGATCACCCTCAAGCCACCGCATCGCCGCGCAGTCCCTCCTCGCCGCCGCACGCGTCAAGGCACTCGCCAACGTCAAGTACTTCTCACCATAATCGCGCCTTCACGTGTGATCTGTGTATCACCCACTCAACTACTCACTCAACCACCCACTCACCCACTCAACCACTCACTCACTCAACTACTCACTCACCCACCCACTCACCCACTCACTCACCACTCACTCAACCACCAACTCACTCACTCAACCACTCACCCACCTAATCACCTCCTCCTTCACTGGTCGCTTCGCTCCCTCCTCCCCCCTCCCTCACCTCCTCCGTCGGCGTCCCTCACCCAAATCCTCCTTTTCCACCTTCTCCCTCCACCTCCGAAACCGCCTCTCCTCAACCCATCTTCCTCCTTCATCGCCCTCTTTCGCCCCTTCTTTTCCCTCACCCTGTCCGCCCACCTCCCTCACCCCGTCACTGCCTCCTTGACCTAAAATCGCCTTTCCCCAAATTCCCCCAAATCACCCTTAAAATGTGCCTAAAATAATCCTTCAACAGCATTATTAAATAACCTCTGCACAGGCCTCGAAAAGTTTCTCGGCTACGATAATGGTAGTTACACCGGTGAAGGCATCGTGTACTCGGACCTTGACAGGCTGTGCGACGGGGTGATGTCTTTCCTTCATGGTGTTCTTGAGAGTGTGAAGGATGATGAAGTTGTGAAAACTTACAATAATTACATTAAATCATCAAATAATAATGATGATTTACATAATGTCCTTCAACATCTCCAATCTTCAATTGGCCAGGGACGCAGTGTCTTTGGTGAGCAGGTTAAAGAGGTAAGTGGATGGTTACAAAAATATTGGACGCAGGTAAATGACAAGACAAGCGACGTGAAGAAAAAATTAGGTGAGTTGATTACTAAATTATCATCTGGTGCAGGTGGACAATACTATCATCATATTTCAGGTCAGCAAGGTCGGCCGCTTCAAGACCAACTGTACGAGTGGACCAAGACGCTGGGAGACATTACAGGAGACCTTCACAACTTAGAAACACAGAACATTAATATGTTAGACAGCACATTAGCATCACAAATAGCGCACAAAATAGAGCCGATTAAAAAGGCGGTTGAGGTGCTGCTAGAGGCGGCGAATGACGTCGACTTCAAAGAACACGCAAAAAATTTTGATAGCTTGCTAGATGAACAAAACAAACATGTGACCTATGCGGTTGATAAAAAGAGTGAGAAGTTACATAATGCAGTGGAAGCGGAATTTCGAAAAATCTGGAAGGAAATTAAAGGTATAAATGACACCCATATCAAGCATATAAGAGCTATGCGGGGATCTTTGGAAGCTAGTAGAAAATTTTTGGATACGGAGTTTGACTGGCAATATAGCTATAAAGTTTTGGGTAAATTTGAAGACGTAAAAAAAGAAGTTGAAACTGCACATAAGGCCTTGCTAATGAAAAAAGGAGAGTTAGACGGTTGGCTGCGGAAGGCCTCGAACGCTTTCAAGGTGATCAAAAATGGAGTCAAAGAAGACACAACTAGCCGAAGTAGTATAGAGACACATTGGAAAAGCATTAAAGATTCGATTCCGAGAATTGTTGGGGAGATTTACAGGGAAGGAGATGCCGGTCAAAAACAAGGCTATCTTGGTATACTTTTCACAAATATCGGTAAGTATGCTGCGACGTTCAAGGAGGCGGCGGACTCTGGGTTTTGTAAAATAGTGGAGGGATGGACTTTACAGATTCTGAGGGAAAATAAGGCAGTAAAGGAAAAGTTAGAAACCTATGCGGCTGCAGTTCAATCTCAGGAGTATACACAGGTGAGGGGGGATGAACTAAATTCACGGTTTGACAGGGATATCGCGGATGTTTTTAAGACAAAGCTGTTAGGAGAAATTGGTAAGTCTGGTCAATTGGTGCAAGCCCAGATACAACTTGTCAATTCTAGAGACGCGGATAAGATTGACGGATGTGTCAAGGCTGTTCAGGCGGGTTGTAATATGTTTGCCGATTCGATTGAAGCGACGATTAAGGAGAAGGGTCAGACAGCAAATGCAATGTATACGGGCATTTATGCATTCGCTGGGGAAATAGCCCGGGCTGTTGAGGAAAAGATAAAGGCTGGAGGAAAGCGTTCAGGTAGTGTTCCGCGTGACAACGAATCGTTGCTTACAAACATCACTCAACCTATTCTCCCCGCGCTAATTGGTATGGCCAGAGGTGCGGCTGCTGAACTGCAGAGATTCAACAGAGAGTCTAGCCTCGACAAAGTGGAGACTGCTATAGAGAGGGTTACGGCTCTCGGCAAAACTTTCGGAGGTGCCGCTGTGGCGATTTCTGAAAGACTGGAGGACGTGAAGCCAAGAATCCAGGAGCTTGGTGAAATAATACAAGAAACGACAGGCACCCTTGTCAAGGACGTCAATGCGCTACAGACAGAAGTTCTTGATAAACTTAAAAACCTCAAGAAAGAAAAGGACAATATCGATGATGGAACCATTAACGTAAGGAAAGATGCGGCAGGTGAGCTTATGGAACAGTTAAAGGGTCGAATAGTTGGTATCCTTACAGGTTTCGAAGTTAATGTCACTTATGCCGAAAAAGAGTTGTCGGTGACAATTGATACACTGGCCGACTCAGTGCATCGTGCAGAGAGAGAAGTTAAAACATCCATCAAAACTTTAAAAGACGCTCTCCTCGAAGAAGTCAGAAAAGCCTTCACAAACGTAAGGAACGATATACATGTACTATTTGCCAACGGCCACATTGCAGATCTAAATGCCCTAAAAACTCTCGTCGAAGCCCAGTCCACCGCTATCCAAACAATAATAGAAACCGATAAAGCAAACGGCCTCAAAGGTATGCTATCTAAATTGAAAGAGAACTGTATTCCTAAAATTGAAAAAATTAAGCCACCCGGTAAGGAGGACCCTACGCTTCAATACGCCGCTGTCAAATTTGACGAAGGCCTGCGTGACTTTTTCAAGGCATTAGAAAAACAAAATGAAGTAAAAGATCACAAAGATAATGTCTCGAAAGTCACTAAATCTCTTTATGATTTTCTTTACCATATCCAACGTGAAAAACACTTCCACCACGCCGTCTCCACGGCGCGCCAGGCCTTCGAGGCTTCGCTTCAAGCATTCAAAGCCGACACGTTCCCCGACGCCCCCAAAAGCGTGCTTAAGCCCCTGAAGCAGGGCCTTGAGAAATTCGCGGAGGAGCTACGCAAGCAGTACGTCAGCAGGTACTCGGGGATGGCGGAGAGCTTTGAGTGGACTAAGAATGTAGATGATACTCCAACTCAAAAACAAGAGCCCACGGAGGACGCCAAAAAATGCGCCAAGGTTTTTATGACCTGCGTGCAAATGTTGTTGGATCACCTCAGTGAGCTGTGGAGCAACTGTGGCAGAAAAGACATCTGGCAAAACAAGACAATCTCTTTGACCGAAACCGGGACGCATGGAAATATTATCACCAACCCCCTCGGAAGCTTTTTCCAGCGCTGCGGTTACCGCGTTTCCTCTGCTCCGAACAAGCACACCGGCGAGTTGCGGAATACCGCAGCCTGCAGGGGCGGGGATATTAACGGCAAGTTGAATGAGCAAATTAATAGCAAAGATTATCTAATTAGAGACGAAGACTTGAAGAAAGAAAAGCCCTTAAACAAGGATGAGGAGACAGATGACAAGAAGTCTCCAAAGCAACATGGCATCCTCAAGCAGCTGTTCGACCACCTCCATCAATATTACACCGTTTGCCACTACTCCACATTACAGTCCAAGACATATCCATCCTCTGTCTGCGACATGCTCAAATGGCTCTGTGGCCTCACTCACAATCCCGTGTATGCCGATTTGTCAGTCAACGGCTATGATAAGCTGTTAGAGCAATATCAGGAGAAAGATGAGGAGAACGACGACGCTGATGAAGGTCCCACAGTTGCCGTCCTCAATGACCTGTCGTTGGAAGCCTATCCACATCCAATAGCAGTGTCAAATCTATCAGATGCCCTTCAGGACGTCTGCCATTATTCCTACGACGTCCTCACTGGTGTCCTTGGCTTCGGCCATGATGACGGCGTGTACGCGTGTGACTACAACATCAACCAGGGAGGCCTGTCATATCCGACGAACATGGACACTTTACTGTGCATGATATGCGATGTCATCAACCGCGTGTACCGTCAGCTCCACTTCTTGTTCCAGCAGTGTAGGTACGATAGTACGCTCAGCGGCTGGGCGGACTGCTGGTATGGTAATGGAGTCGGGGGGTCAGCATGGAAGTGTAACTCCATGCAGTGCCCTGGTCAAGGGGGTGACCAAAGTGCTACCCAAAAGCACAACCAAAAGTGTAACCAAAAGTGTGAGCAACGTGTTATGTGCGGTGTGAAATCGCCACTTCAATCATTCCTGGAAGATGGGTTGCAGGGCTTTTTGCCTCACAGCCTCAAGTCTGAGAGGGGAAAACTTGAGTGTTCACTTAAAAGCCATGCCGGTGTGCCGTGCATAACGCCAATGGGCTTTGCAGGAATTGCCGGATTAGCGTCACACAGGCGAACAGGACAATTCCTCATGGAAGTCCTTGGCGACTTCTGCGGCAATCAAAAGTCTCCGCTCACTAAGATATGCAGCCTGTTCAACTGCGTTCTCCCCAGTCCGCCGAAATCGCTGAGTGATATGTTCGGCTTTTACTACAGTTTGCTTTGTGGGTGGGATAAGAACGGCAAGGACAAAAATCGTGTGCAGCACAGGGAGACGGCGTTTACCAAAGCGGTCAGCGGCGCCGATTTTGAGAATCCTGATACCACACTGGACATCACTGATATGTTCAAGAGCAGTGATCATGGTATCCCTAAGCCCGCCGATCAGACTAGTAGTCATCTCACCGGTGATCTGTATGCTCTTGTCAACTGCACCCGTGACAAATCGCACACTCCATCGCATCCCTGTGGCCCGTATCTCAGGCCTTTGTGCAGTGACATATGTACTATGTTCTCAGAAAAGCACGCCGCCAAGTACGTCTCGTGGATTGTCTTCTTGACTGAGTCTTTCTACGACCTGCTTAAGAAGCTGTTGGAGGACTGCGAGAAGACGTGCGGCGCTGAAGCTACGAGATGCAAAATTAGAAAATGCAGTAAGGAGTGCAAGACAAAGGAGTTGCCGCTTGGCAACGATACAAAACATGAAGATAAATGTAAATCAATTGTGCAATGCAACTATATCCGTCCAACGTTTTACAAATATGGATTCATACACGAGAGCGTCAGCAGCCTCAGTGGTGTAGCAGGAGTAGAAAGCAAGAGGACCTGCGCAGATTTCTGCGCAATTTTGAAGATAGTGACAGCGGAAAAGAAAGCACTGCATGACATCGTGTTCGGCAAAATTACAGCATATTTGTTTGAAATACGCTCCAATTTCATCTACACCCTGATCGCCCTCTGGTCGCTGTCGCTCCTCTACCTGCTGCACATCGCCGTCGTCCGCCTCGACGTCCTGAGGATACGCTCCCACCTGCGCTCGCCCTCAAGCCACCGCATCGCCGCGCAATCGCTACTCGCCGCCGCACGCGTCAAGGCACTCGCCAACGTCAAGTACTTCTCACCATAATCTGCCTTCACGTGTGATCTGTGTATCACTCACTCACTCAACCACTCACTCAACCACTCAACCACTCAACCACCCACCCACTCAACCACCCACTCACCCACTCAACCACCTACTCACCCACCCACTCAACCACTCACCCACTCACATACTCACACACTCCCTCACCCACTCAACCACCCACTCAACCACCCACCCAACCACCCACTCACATACTCACTCACCCACTCACATACTCACCTCCCTCTTTCACTGCTCGCTTCGCTCCCTCTCCATCACCTCCTCCGTCGGCGTCCTTCACCCAAATCCTCATTTTCCACTTTCTCCCTCCACCCCCAAAATCGCCTTACCTCAACCCATCTTCCCCCTCCATCGCCCTCTTTCGCCCCTTCACCTCCCTCGCCTTGTCCACCCACCTCCCTCGCTGCCTCGCTGCCTCCTTGACCTAAAATCGCCTTTCTCAAAAAATTCTAAAATTGTCCAAAAGTGTCCATTTCACCTCCCCTAATATCCTTTTTAACCTTTTTTCCACTTTCTTGTGTCACCTCTTTTGACCTCCCTTCTCGGCCTCCTTCGTCGGCCTCCATCGACTGGTTGATACAGGTTAAGCATGGGAATGGTGATGATGGTCTTAAGAACTTGGCTGAAGCTTTGAAAAAGTTGATTGGTGATGCTATTAATAGTGCCAATACTAGCCTTACTGAACGTCAAAATCACCTTAATTGTCTCGGACATCACTCCTTTGATAACTCTCCTAAGTCCCACTGTCAGTCTCTTGACGAGCAAATTGACTTGCTTAAAAATTCTGATAAATCCACTGATAACTCACAAAATGACTCTAAAATTGCCGACCTTAAATCCCAATTAAAAGATCATATTGCCAAGTATCATTCCCTTTCTGAGTCTGACAGGACTGCCCAGCTTAAGGACATCCACTCCAGGATGGTGTCTCTTGCTGAGCTCAGTGGACAACTTGGGAAGTTTATTGGCCCTGAGAAGGCTGTTACTAAAGCAATTAATGATGGCATTAACATCATTATTAACAGTGATAATGACTTCAAAAGCCTTAAAAATCCTTCGTCTTCGACTGGGCAGCCTTCCGCTCCCGTGTCTGCTGAGCCTATAAAGTCTGTTGAGCTTGATGAGAAAATTCAGCTTGTTAAAGATAAAATTGCGTCACTTGAAAAACTTAAAAGCGCCCAAAATCCTCCCCTCTCCTCTGAAGATTCTCGCCTTTTATCCTCCTATCAGTCCAAGTTGCAGTCTCTTCAGAGGCTGAGTAAGCTTAATGAGTCTTTTAAATCTCTTAATAATAAACATGATGATGCTTGTAAAAACATTTTAACAAATTTGTGCTCTGGCTTGGAGAAGTTCCTTGGTTACCAAGAAACTTCCAAAGGCTACTCGGGTTCCGGCATCGTGTACTCGGACCTTGACAGGCTCTGCGACGGGGTGATGGCGTTTTTGCACGGGGTGCTTAGTGGAGTGAAAGGTGATGATAACGTTACAACGTATGATAAAAATAATGTTCCTAATATTAATAATGTTCTTCGTGAATTAAATGATACTGTAGGTAAAGGCCGTGAGGCCTTCGGGAACGCCGTGTCTCAGGTAAGTGGGTGGTTGAAAAAACATGGTGCGCAGGTGGAGGAGAGGACTGGAGAAGTGAAGAACAAATTAGGTGAGTTAAGTAGTGATCTTAATGATGTTTCAGGTGCAATTGAATCATGGAGAAATCATGAGTACGACGCTGCCTCAGAATTGCTGGGCGACTGGCATCAAGCTGTCCAGAAGCTTCCGACTATTCCAGCATCTTCACTTAAATCACTTAGCGCCTTAGATGGCAACCTGAGAAATAAATTAGATCAACACATCAATATAATTCGTACTAATGTTAATACATTTGTGCATTCCACTAAACTTGACCACGCTGACTTGGTGGCGGTGGCTACTAAGGTTGATGGCGAGCTATATAGGTTGGACATGAGGCTTACTGCGGAAGTCCATACACGAGTTGACCAACTTAAAACTACAGTGACTGCGGGTATTAATAAGCTGGACGAAGAGGTTAAAGCTGTTTTGCAAAAGAAGGTTTCGGCCCTGCAGGGGGCTGTTGAGAAGTTAGATGTGATAAGGAGAAGCATTTACCTGCATGTCGACAATGTTGGCGAAAGGTTCGTAAAAGAGAGCCTTACCCTTGGTCAGGATACTGTGCCTGGAATGAGGGATAAAGCGGAGGGAATTCATGCTGCGGTAGAGAATGGTATAACAAAAAGTATTACTGAGCTCCCCTTACAGATTCAAAGTGCGCTCACGCAGCTTACTGATGAAATAGCTCATAAGGATGAGACTGGATCACTAGATCAGATTGTAGAGGGGGTAGCGGAGTATGCCACTGGTTTCCCAAGTAAGTTCCAGCAAGCTGTTGATAAGATTGTTCAGGGGATGGTAGAAAGTGAAGGTGTTAAGGGTTATATTAGAGAGATTGTTAGAGTCATTAAGGGGAATTTTGGTGAGCAGAGCATTAGCGCAGTTATCGAAACAATGAAAACCAAAATCCCGGAGCAGATTAAGAATCTTTCTAAGGAACCGATCAATCCCAGAGGCGAGGTTGTGCAAGATTTGGCAAACATTGCTGATTACCTCAAAAAATTCGACGATTCATCATTACAGGCTGTCACTACCATTATAGTAGACAGTGTGGATGCTGAGTTAGAAAAAGGAATCTTTAAAGTTAAGATAACATCAAAGGACACTGCGAAGTATTATCTCCAATGGTCTATACAGACCATTCTCAGAGCAGTGTCACAGGCGGCTACGGAGACTGGAAATGAAATCGAACAGTTTATCTTAGCATCCAAGGTTCATCAATTGGCAACGGCTATAGAAGAAGTCAAAGAGCTTGGGAATGGGATGCAGGCTAATGTTTCTTCAATGATAGTCCCTATCCAAGATAGCATTCGGACTCAGGTTATGACCCCCGCCAATGACATTAAGGCTAAGCTTACAACAATTATTGAGAAGGTTAATGAGCAGATTAGTGCGTTGAAGAAAATCGTTGCAGAAGACGAAAAGGCGGCCGAAACAGACGCCAAATCCTCCCAACCTACCACCCTCAAGGGCATGGAGAAGAAAATTGACGGTGCCGTCAACGACCTCAACCAACAGGTCACGTCCATCCTCGATAAACAAGTGGAGGAATTACGAGACACTACTCTCAAAAACGCCGCTACAGAATGCCAATCCACCATAACCAAGAATGTCACCGCTGAATCCGCTGCCGCGAAGCAGAGCATTAAAAAAGAGGCTCTAAAGAAATTCGCTGAAACGAAGGCAAAGGAATTGGAGGCTTTGAAGGAATTGGTTACGAACGAAAAGAAGAAAATTACAAATATAATAGACGCCGACACAAAACTCGGCCTTAAAGGGTATCTCAATAAATTGAAAGAGAAATTCATGCCCTCCATCAATGGCTTTTTGCCACAAGTGCGTCCACCCCTAGGGCCACAAGCAAAGAAAAAGCTTGCCGACTTGGCGCCGAAGGTCAAAGAAGGCTTCGACAAATTCTTCACGGATTTGCAAGGACAGGGCGATTTGACAATTCTCTCCCTTCGCTTTGCAAAGTTATCTGAAAAACTTAATGCTTTACTTAGCCCGCTTACCCACTATAACCATGCCTTTACAAATAATTTAGCGACACTTGAAAATGAAGTTGATAGTTTATGTCACTTGGTATTAGCCAACAACGCACAGAAAGTCTCCCTGAGTCTCAGACAAGGACTCGACAAATTCACCGAGGAGCTCACGAAGGCGTATGTGAACGTGTACGATAATGGAACGCCGATTAACTGGAGTAATTTTGATGCTATCGAAAAAGAAAAATTATCTAAGGTTTTGCTCACCTTAATGGAAACAGTGTTCCATGACCTTAATGATTTGCGAAAGACGTTTGTTGAGAAAAAAGAGTGGCATGATAAGAATATTCGTTTGTATAAGCAGACAAGTACGGATGAAAAAAAGCCCCGAAACCCACTTGGCCATTGGTTCAAGATGCACGGCTTCACAGTGCCGGAAGATGACAAGAAGCAGAATGGTGAATTGAGCCGGAAGAAGACAGGCTGGGACATTTATCGTCTATTATGCGGCTCAATATCAGACCATAAAAAAGTCTTTGCGGTTAGCCCTAACACTGCCGATTATACCGGCACACTTAGGAAACTCATCAGACACCTTCACAGTTACTATCGTGTCCGCCACCACTACCTCCCTGACTCACCTAGGGCACCAACCAATATTAAACAGATGCTCCAGTGGGTCATTGGTCTCCCGTATAATCACATGTATGGTCCACTTTGCAAGTACTTCAAGCAAGTTATACCTAAACCTAAAGAACATAAAGACACGCCAGTTGATCAGATTCCCGACGATGAACTGAACCTCCCTGCTACCACCGAAATTAAATATGATGACATAAGACCCACCCTCGACGGCGTATGCGCTCGCGCCAAAAGAACACTAATTGGCATCATGGGCCACGGACATCCAGAGGGCCGGTACGCCTGCGAGTTCAGCACTAACGCAGACGGTTTCTCATATCCCACTAATATGAACACGCTGATATGTATGTTATTTGATATGCTAAAACATATACACCAACAGCTTTATTTCTTATATAAACAGTGTTACCATACGACAAAGCTCAGCGGCTGGAAAGACTGTTGGTATGGTAGAGACGTCGGCGGCTCTGGCTGGCTGTGCAATACTTTGCAATGCCCCAACCAAAATGGTAACCAAATAGGTGACCAAATGCATAAGCAAACATGTAACCAAAAGTGTGAACAAAACCCTAAGTGCGGACTAAAATCTCCATTGCAATCCTTTTTGGAAGATGGACTGCAGGGCTTTTTGCCACACCAACTTAAATCAGTTGGTTGTGGAGTAAAGTGTTCCCTTGGTAATCACAGGGGATTGCCGTGCAAAACCCCTATGGGCTTCAATGACATTGCCACAACAGCGTCGCATACGAAGAACGGAACACATCTTCGCTACGCTTTAGAAATTTTTTGTCATCAAAATCATGACCTCCGTAAGATCTGTGGTATACTAAACTGCCTCGTCCGCCGCGCGCCTCAGACACTGGGCGAAATGTTCGGGTTCTTCCAGGGCTACCTGACACACTGGAAGGGCGGTGGTATAAAGCACAAAAAGCAAGCATTTGATGAGGCTGTCAAGGAAGCATGTTTCGGGCAAGAACATTCTGAGTTGGATCCAACCACCTTGTTTGGTAGCAGTAAACACGACGTTTCCAAGAATAAAACACATCTCAAAGGTGACCTGTTCAGTATAGTTAGTTGCCCGTATAGCTTGGAAGATACATGCGGCGTCTTCATCAGTTCATTGAGCATTAACATTTATGACGTATATTCAGCAGCGAATAAGAGCAATTACTTGTCGTGGATAGTATACATCACTGAAACGTTTTATGATTTACTAAGAATGTTATATGAAGAGTGCTGCAATAATTGTAATAAAGCCGGCACCAGGTGTCACAAAAAAGTCTGTGCCAAGGACTGCAAGTTAGCGGATGAGTCTCCGAATTACAAAAATAACAATCACAAACAAGAATGCAAACCCATAACGCAATGCCCTCTTACACTACCCACACTAACCAAATATGGATTGGGTTTTTACAGCGCACATAGACTAAGCGCTCACAAACTTAGCAGTAATGATCCGGAAGCGAGACACAAAAGAACGTGCAAAGATTTTTGCGATGCACTGAAAAATATTCTGAACAATAAAGTAGCGGACGAATATGTGCTTGCCAAATTGGTATTTAAAACAATTCCAGATTACCTATGCAAAATCAGATGGCCTTTCATGACAACACTATTATCCCTCTGGTCGCTCTCGCTCCTCTACCTGCTGCACATCACCGTCGTCCGCCTCGACGTCCTGAGGATACGCTCCCACCTGCGCTCGCCCTCAAGCCACCGCATCGCCGCACAGTCCCTCCTCGCCGCCGCACGCGTCAAGGCACTCGCCAACGTCAAGTACTTCTCACCATAATCGTGCCTTCACGTGTGATCTGTGTATCACCCACTCACCTACTCACTCAACCACCTACTCACTCAACCACCCACCCACTCAACCACTCACTCAACCACCCACTCACCCACTCACTCAACCACCCACTCACCCACTCACTCACCCACTCACTCAACCACCCACTCAACCACCCACTCACCCACTCACCCACTCACTCAACCACCCACTCAACCACTCAACCACCCACTCAACCACCCACTCACATACTCACTCACTCACATACTCACTCACTCACTCACTCACCCACTCACTCACCCACCCACTCACTCAACCACTCAACCACCCACTCACCCACCCACCCACTCACCCACTCACCCACTCACTCACTCACTCACTCCACTCATACTCACTCACTCACTCACTCACACTCACTCACCCACTCAACCACCCACCCACTCAACCACTCACTCACCCACTCACCCACTCACTCACCCACTCACCCACTCACTCACTCACCCACTCACTCAACCACATACTCACTCACTCACTCACCCACTCACCCACCTACTCCGTCGGCGTCCTCCACCCAAACCCTCTTTTTCCACCTTCCCCCTCCACCTCCAAAACCGCCTCTCCCCAACCCATCTTCCTCCTTCATCGCCCTCTCTCGCCCCTTCGCTTCCCTCACTCTGTCCACCCACCTCCCTCACCGGCTCGCTGCCTCCGTCACCTAAAATCGCCTTTTTCCAAAATCCCCCAAATCGCCCTGAAAATGTGCCTAATAATTCCCATGATTTCCTTACTAACCTGTGCTCTGGCTTGGAGAAGTTCCTTGGTTACCAAGAAACTTCCAAAGGCTACGATGGCACTGGCATCGTGTACTCGGACCTTGACAGGCTGTGTGACGGGGTGATGTCTTTCCTTCATGGTGTTCTTGAGAGTGTTAAGGATGATGAGAGTGTGAAGCATTATTATTCCACTGCTGAAATGGACAAAATACTTGAGAAAATAAAGAATTCTATGCATCAAAAAGGTACGTTCACTAGTGTAATTGATACTGTTGCAGGTGCGCTGCGGGAGTGGGACGATGGAGTCTGGACAAGAACTACGGCACTTAATAACGCACTTAATAGCTTACAGACTAACATATTTAATGATATTGATACTTCACTTAGAGCACTTAGTCGTTGTGGGCCTGCTGATGTTGCTCGCAATTTGCATCGATGCATCCGGAATGCTGAAAGGCTTCCTGAGGCAGTTAGCTCGGCATACACAAAACATGGTGAATTAGATCGTGAGCTTCGTAAGAAGCTTCTGGACCACCTACGCAAAATAGAAATACAAGTTACGTCTTTTGTTAGTGCGGCCAGTAACGGTGAGTTAAAGGAGGTGGTGGAGAGGGCAAAAATCGCACTCGGCACCATGAGAAAAAATGTGGATGACAGCGTTCGGACGCGTATTGCGCAGCTTCAGCATGACTTGGAAGAGGCCTTTAGAACCACAATCAAAGAGCCGATTGAGTATGTTGCTAAGGCTTTAGAAAGGGTGAACAGTGATCTATGGAAGTGGATGTCGGAGGCCCACAGTGTCATTACGAAGGCAGACGAAAAAGCGAGAGAGGTGTACGGGAGATTGAATGATAGAAAGTATGATGATGGAAAAAAAGTAATCGAAAAAACGGAGCTTTGTAGAAAACTCGAACAAATTAGCACAGCCAAAGAGAAAATTGATATTGCAAATGGCCAACTTGAAGCTAAGGTTTTGGCATTAGATGGTTGGATTAGCACGGAGCATGGGACTATTGAGGGTGCGCTGGGGAAAATCGCGGTAATTATGAAAGAAGTGGACGGGCCTGCGACGAAGAAGGCTGCGATTATTGACGAGGCCAACAAGTTGTACGGTCATGCTACCAGTCTCCTGGAAGCATCTGTAACGGCCAAAACGCGAGTAACGGTTGCTGTGCAGGAAGCTGTTCGGACATTAGAAGGTTTGAATGCTAAAGTTAGTGAGGCGTTGGAGGCTTTTAAAAAAGAAATGAATCCAATTATTAGTGGATGCTTAAGCAGTTTGGAAAATGTAAGGTTTGCCAGTAATAAGGTAACCAACCTTGGCAGTTTGCCCCAAAGCGGCCTTGTTGCACAGTGGCTTCAAAATATCCAAACGGAAGGCGGTGCTCTACGTGCTTTTGATTCCCTTCATTATGATGGTTCCACGGTTTTAACAGAGATATTTAACGTACTTAAAGCAGATTTAAGGGTTGGTACTATAAAGAGCAATCGTATAAAATTCTTCAAGGCGTTGGATGAAGATATGCAAAATGCAATTAAGGACATTACAGATCTTACAAATCCCAATGACCCTATGAAGCCTGTCCGTGATCAGCTGAAAGGTGACAACGGAAGCAACCTTCATAAGGCAGTGAGTGATATAACACAAAACGTTAAAGAACTTACTGAGTCAACAAAGAAAGATGCACTAACTATTGAAATCTTCGGCTGTTTCGACAAAGTTCGAAATACGTTAGATAGTTTGTGCAGTGAAGTTAAAACGCAGGCCGGTGACTCAAGTGGTCTGCAAAAAGAATTGGCTGGGTTGCAAACTAGGATAGGCAAAAATACGAAAGATGATACGTGCCTCGGTGGAATTCAAAAAAAACTCTGTGAGCTGCATAAGGATGAGTTGTCTCCCCAACCTGAGCTTATCACCTTAGCTTTATCAAGCATTCAGAAGGAGCTGGGAGAGCTCCAAGAGGTCTTGAGCACTGACGTCATCAAAGCTCTTGATGACTTGCTAAATAAGGGTATTTTACGTGACCAGAAATGGAAGCAAACCTTTGGTCTTGACAACATCCATAACGAGATTGCTGGTATCCTGTATACAAACCCTGTCAACCTAACGGCAATAATCGCCCAAGCCAACACCTTTCTGACCCAGACAATCCCGCAGCAGGCAGCCATAGCCCTTGAAGGAATAAAAAACTATGTCGCCCAGGAAGTTGAAAGCACAACTAAGGCCATTCAGTCCAAGGCAAAGGAAGATTACTACAATAAGATTAACAAAATGTTCAACGATATGAAATCATGCGTTTCCAACTACATCGCAGAAATTGAAGCCATGTTCGATAGAGATTTATCAACGGGCGTCAAATATTTAATGAGGCACTTAAGAGGCAAAGTAGATGGTCAGGCAGATCAACAACCTCCGCCTCAACCAAATTCCAGTCTGCTTGATGGGCTAAGAACTGCTGTGGGTGATGAAAATCCGCAACATTGGGATAAAGTTAAAAAGTTGGTGGATGCATTCAAAAGCTACGTGGACCCCATTTTTGATTTCATCGAAGACCAATTTAAATCGCCTTCATTTTTCCTGCCTAATGTTCCCGGTAAAAAGTCTACTGATGAGTCTGACCGAATTTTCACCATCCACTCCGCCCTGCAATCCCTCCTCTCCCACGTGTCCGACAAAAAACACTTCACCCACGAGGTACCCGGAATGCTCGCGCAACTCAAGACGTCCGTCCAAGCACTCACCTCCACAAAGTTCGCCAGCCCCGCGTACCCCGTGCTCGACGCTTTCCCCAAGAGCCTGGTAAAGTTCGTCGAGCAGCTGGAGAAGGGGTATGTTAATAGGTATGAGGGGCATCCTGATACAGAAGAGTGGAAAGAATTTATTAAAGCTCCAGCACAATCTCCCCCTGACAAATATGTTTTGACTTCTTATGGTACGAATTTGTCGAAGGTTTTGCTCACGTTAATGGAGGGGCTGCAAAAATATATCACTGATTTGAGACGAGAATGTAATAGTGGTGGTAAGTGGTCAAAGCATACAATCAATTCACGTACTGAACTCGGCCGCTGGTTAAAGGACCGTGGTTTCAGCGTGTCCAAGTCCGACAAGCAAGAAGGTGAGCTGGACAGCACTAAGAATGGCTGGAAAATTTATGGACTCCTATGCGGCACGGTAGGGGCGAAAAAAGTCTTCGCATTAGATCCTACCAATGGTAATGATTACAGCTTAGTTGAGAGACTTCGACAACTTTTCCGCAAGTACTACGCCGTTTGCCAGCATATTCATATTGATAAGCCAAGATCCCCGAGTAATATCTACCAAATGCTTTGCTGGCTCTCTGGGTTTTACTTTAATCCGATGTATAATAAAATGGAGGGGCAATTTAAGACACTGTTCCCTAAACCTGATGGACAGCAGGAAACAGATTACAGGGACATTGAAGCCAGCAAATTGACACTTCCTGCAACCACACCTTTTACAGCTCACAGCGTAGTTGAGAAACTCGGACAAGTGTGCTTACACTCGCAACTTGTATTAGTCGCCATCCTCGGTCACGGCGACGCCGACGGGCGATACGCTATCGATTTCAGTACTAACCCAGATAACTTAAATTATCCTAATAACTCCGATGCGTGCTTTGATATGCTTACAGATATATTATATAGAGTGTGTCACCAGTGTTCGTTCCTTTACGTTCAATGCGGACGTCCATATAATGCTGTCTCGTGGCTTGATTGCTGGTATGGGAAAGGAGTCGGCGGTTCATCGTGGAACTGCAATGACCTTAAATGCCCTAACCAAACATGTAGCCTGAGCGGTAACCAAACAGTTAAGCAAAGTGCTGGCCAAAAGGGTAACCAAAATGCCGACCAAAGGTGTAACCAGCATCCTACTTGCGGCCTCAAGTCACCCTTACAGTCTTTCTTAGAAGATGGACTGCAAGGCTTCTTGCCGCACACATTTAAAACGCCAGGTTGTAAGCTAGAATGCTCGCTCAACAACCATAACGGCCTTCCCTGCAAGACGCCCATGGGCTTTGCAGATATTGGCGTTACCGCATCGCAATCATCTAAAGGCAAACGCATTAAGGAATTGCTTGAACGTTTTTGTGGTACCAAGTCTTCTCCCCTCAATGCTCTATGCTCTTACATCAGATGTCTTCTGCAAAAGCCACCGCAGACTCTCGATGATATGTTCGCATTTTATTACCACTTCCTCTATAGATGGAATGACAGTGGTACGCATAGGAAGGGTGCATTCGAGGAAGCTGTCAAGAAAGCCAATTTCGAAAACCAAGAAACACAATTGGACATTACTGCAATGTTCAAGAGCACTAATCATATGTTAGACAAGGAGTCTAGCCATGCCCATGGTGACCTATATAGCGTCTACATTTGCGATCATGATTCGCCGACAACTGCCACATGTGGCCGTTATATGCAGCCTATTTGCTTCGACACATGGACTGTGTTTTCAAGCACAAAAGCTGATAAATACCTATCATGGATTGTCTATATCACCGAGACGTTCTATGATCTGCTTCAGAGATTGCTCGATGACTGTTGCAATAATTGCAACAA